CTTTTAGACCAACCCCCTTACTAGCGCCAATTAAAGTTTGTGTGTTTTTCTTTATGGTATCTACATTATCACCCAGTAGATTCACATCATCGGCATAGGCCAACAGCTGATGTCTCCTGTTTAATTTCAGTCCCACCTGGTCTCCCTGGACCTTCCTGGCATATTCTGAAGCAAAGTTGAAAAGGAGTGGCGATAAAGCATCTCCTTGTTTTAGACCATTCTGGATAGGAAATTTATCAGACAGCTGTTTACCTACACGCACTTTACTATACGTTTCGTTTAAACACATTTTAATCAACATAACTAGTTTCATGGGTATCCCAAACTCTATCAGAATATTGTACAATACTTCTCTCCTAACTGAATCATAGGTTTTCTTGAAGTCTACAAAGAGCTGATGTAGCTTTAAAACTAGAGGTCGCAATTAACCACCAATTTTGAACTTCAATTTAAATCAAGTAAGTTTAACATTTTCGAGGAATGACTATGGGTCATAAAATGTAGCATCGTACCAACTCACGGACAATACTAGTGTATAAGTGATGACGGTCGCTTTGTTGAACGAAACATATAACAAAAGAGTTAACATGCGAGTGTGACTGATGTGGGCATGAAAACCACACTGTCCGGGACAAACCAAGTGCCGCGAAGAAAAAACTGTATAAGCACGCTCTTGGAGCCATGTTAATTCCATATTTCGCAAGATATTTTTTACGTATAGCGTGAAACCAACTGAAAAATGTCTTTGGAGTATTTAAGAAGCGCTTCTCCCAAAGCATTTCTATGAAGCGCGCCGCCTTCTTTAACGGAGAAAAAAAAGCGTTAACTTTTGTGTGTGTGTGTGTGTGTGTGTGTGTGAGCGAGCGAGCGAAAGGGTACCCACAGTTGGACAGCCGTACCGCAGGCTTTCGACATTTCAAAATGGTTCGCATTTTCAGAAGGTGTGAAGGATATATGAATAGAATATGGAAGTGAAAACATCCCCAGGCTATGAAAAGTTGGAAGTGGCCTCGTAGTATTTTCAGTAAGTTTACCACTCCATTTAACTAGTAACTATACAGACTCAATCCAGACTTATTTTTCACCAGGAATTAGTTCTTCGTAAACTTGCCTCCTTCCTTCAGGGGTGGCAACTCTTCTTCTACAACCGTAAAATCATCTTCCTTCGGCACGCCAACAAAGCGCCTTGCAAAGATGAATTTCTTTGTTTTCACCATATTGCTGGTGCAATGTGTATGTGTGTATAACACTCCTGAAATGAGAATGAAACCAATTTCAAAATTAATTCCCATAGATGAATGGTTTCTAAAGTATGAGTCCTCCCCCCTCCTCTGTGGGCTGATGTTCTTTGAAAGCTATACAGGAAAACTGAATTGATCATACTTACTTATTTGCTTACTCATGGAGCTAAGCCCTTCTTGAGGAGCCGCCAATTCTGCACCTACTCAAGAATTTCCCAGCATTTTGTGAAACCCCAAGGTTCATTATCGTGTTCACAAGAGCCCCCCCCACTGGTCCCAATCCTGAGCCAGATCAATCCAATCAATACAATATCATCCTCTCTCTCTAAGATCAATTTTAATATTGTCAACACACCTACCCCTTGATCTTCTCAGTGGTCTCTTTCCTTCTGGCTTTCCCACCAATATCCTGTATGTTTTCCTCTTCTCCCTCATTCGTGCTACATGCAATGCCCACCCCATTCTCCTTGACTTGATCATTCTAATTATACTTGGAGAAGAGTACAATTTTGAAGCTTTCTCCAACCTCCTGTCACTTTATCTCTCTTCAGTCCAAATATTCTCCTCAACAGCCTGTTCTCAAACACCCTCAGTCTATGTCCCTCCCTTAATACCAGAGACCAAGTTTCACTTCCATACAGAACCACAGGCAAAATTATAATTTTGTATATTCTAATTTTTGTTTTTGGACAGCAGACGAGAAGACAAAAGGTTATTGACTGACGAGTTCAATCTCCTCTTTATTTACTCCTGAATCAGGTTTTGATTTATTATCGTCGTTCCCAAATATCTGAACTGTGTTACATTTTCAAAAAATCTGTTTCCTATTCTTACGTCATGTTTTGCGATGCATTTTACTGATGAGACAACAACATATACTTAGTATTCTCTGTGTTTACTTCTAGACCAACCTCTTTAGTTGTGTCAATTAATGTTTGTATGTTTTTCTTTATGGTATCCATATTATTACCCAGTAGATTCACATCATCGGTGTAGACCAACAGCTGATATGTCCCGTTTAGTTTCAGTCCCACCTGGTTTTCCTGGACCTTTCTAATGGCATATTCTAAAGCAAAGTTGAAAAGCAGTAGCGATAAAGAATCTCGTCGTTTTAGACCATTCTGGATACGAAAGTTATCAGACAAATATTTACCTACACGGTCTTTACTATAGGTTTCGTTTAAACACATTTTAATCAGCCTAACTAGTTTCATGGGTAACCCAAACTCTATCAGAATATTGTACAATACTTCCCTCCTAACTGAATCATAGGCTTTCTTGAAGTCTATGAATAGCTGATGTACTATCTCATCGTACTCCCATTTTTTCTCCAATATCTGACGAATGCAAAAGATCTGAACAGCAGTTGATCTGTTACGTCGAAACCCACACTGATGATCCCCAATAATTTCACATCTATGTATGGCCTTAACCTTGACAGAAGAATATTGGATAAAATTTTGTATTAAGTTGATAGCAGTGATATCCCCCGATAATTACTACAGTCAGTTTTATCACCCTTCTTGTGAACTGGTACAGTAATAGATTCCTTCCACTGATCAGGCAATTTCTCCTTATGCCAAATAGAAACTGAATTGATAATAATATCAAGGATAAGGTGTAGCGTAGTTGGTTGAGGCACTTTGCTACAAGCCGGAAGGTCGTAGGATCGAATCCCGACGAGGTCATCGGATTTTTTTTTCAGTTTACCTAATCCTTCCAGCCGCACTATGGCCCTAGGGTCGACTCAGCCTCTAACAGAAATGAGTACCAGGAATATTCTGGGGGTAAAGGGCGGCTGGCGCGTAGGGCTGAAAACCTCACGGCTATCTATGAGCCGATTGTCTAGAGAAAATGTAGGAACCTCAACATCTTACAACCCTATGGGCCTCCACGGCCTGTTACATGGATACCTTTACTTACACCATTACCACTACCACTACCACTACCAGTACCAGTACCAGTGCCACTGCTACTACTACTACCACCACCACTATCAGTACCACTGCTAATACTACATTCTCGAGGTAGACGAAGAAACTTCCCGTTGTGAGAGCTATATGCAGAATCCTGGTTGCTGTCTAATGAATAAGATCAACACTCACATTTACAAGGACTTCTCTGTTATACGCTCACTGTTACCAGTTTCAACGAAATCCAAAGACATGGCAGTAGCGCACTTACCTCTCTGTCGTGCGTGAAGGCCGAGGAAGCAATGTTGTACGTGACGAGCGTGACAGCGCCCTTTTTGTAGCTGCGTGAGGCTCCGTCAGGGTACAAGTAGTGGGAAGGAGGGGTTCAAAGATGATCAGTATGATGTAAACAGCGAAACAGCTGTGTCATGGTACTTACTCTCTGTAACCAGTCCAGTGTGAGCTCCTAATCGCGTCGATAACCGAACTGGGTGGGGGCAGGAAGAGAGAAACAGACGCAAGTCATCACATGTTGAGAACGGACATGGCTGAATGTTTTCTTCAGTAGGACTACAGGTATCGGTGGGGTTAGGCTAAAAAGAAAGTCGAATAGAAAGGACTAAATATTTTCTGTACGAGACCTACAGCAACTCCTGCGGTTACGTTCGTGGTAAACACCGCGACTGACAAAGGGTGTCGCGCATTGGTACCGCTCAGCTAATCTCAGAAGCAAAATTACAATTTGTGGCAAGTCTAATCAAAATGTAGATTACTAACTGCTGCAAGAGGGGCCCCCCGAGTTCTCCAGAATTGATTAATATATGGCTGTGTCCATGCACAGTTTTAGCAGAGGAGGTTTCGAAACAACTTGACCTGGATCCATACTCCTTCGTCTCCTGAGAAATTCTTTCCTAAGCCAAATCTATTTTGTCCTGCCTAACATAGTCTGGGTGGCGTCTGTCATACATACCAGACTCTTGTTCAGTTAACTGCACAAAAACAAAATTAGCAGCTTCGTCAACTTTTCGTGCCATCGTAAGAAAGAAATGAATCATTGAAGCACGTTATAGAACGGGTGACACTAGGAAACCACGCGGCAACGCATCTGTGAGAAGACTGGCTTGGTCCGTTGCCTGGAAATGGAGTTTCTCAGTCTTTCCGCGAGTTGCGTTGCCGTTTCCTCAATTTGCGCTGCTCCATACAGTAACGCGTTCAACTCAGGCTAACAGTTCTCGGAAACTGCGGTTGAGTTGCGGTTGCCAGTTTCCTTGGTGTGCTCACGCTGTAAGACTTTCAGAACAGGCTTGCCTGGCTCGACCATCAAATTATTATTTAGGTGACTGTAGCACTCTGACTGGGAGACGCTGTGATTTAGCTTGAACATGAAATGCCCCCTCCCCAACCGCAGGTATATCATACAGCTTTCCGTGTAACCTGCGTTTTTGCTGTTTGTTTCTTCCGTATTAGTCGGACAGTCACTCTGTCTGACATATGCCAATATGTCTTAATGACGATATCTGAATAAACACAATGCCCGACGGACTGCCTCACTGGGCAGGTCGCGGCGTGCACCGGTAACAACCGGTCCGGAGAGAGGGGCTAGCTCTGTCTATTGGGCCCAACTGAGTAGGTTTTACCTGAAGACGGAGACAGAATCCAGTCTCCGAAACGAAGCGTTTTTTAAAAGAAACAGGACGGTTTTTTAAGAATAGACAAGACGATGGGTAATGTCCAGCAACATATTAATTATAACAATTTACCATCATCACAAACTTTTAGATCTTACAAACAAGATGAAATTTAATTTTAATGCAGCAATGTAGCATTACGCTGTAATTTTCAAAAGTTAAACTGTTAACAGTTTCCAAAGTAATGAATAAATCCACGTATCTTAAATGCATATTTTGAAATAAATGTGAATTGTGTAAAATATTTCTGACATTCTTTATTTAATGCTACTGCTTTCAGTGAGACATTTCTCTTTCGCTGCAACATCGCCAGCTGCAGATTGCACCCGGTTCCTGTGTCTGCATAGCACAAGCCATTCCACATCTCGTGCTATCCTGCTTTCCCCTGTATGACCTACGAAATACTGGCTTTGTTGGCTGACGGAAGGCTTTCTTTATTTGCTCTCGTGAACAGTCTAAAAATACGATCAGACCCTACGTCGTGACAACTAGATTTAAATAGGCTTTATTTCAAGTCTATGGATGTAGTAATTAGTTATAGTGTTATAATATAAAATTTCTCGGTGAGGGTAATTTTATTTTTAATAACTGAACTTATTTCTATGTTACACGTTACTGTATTTCTATGTCACATAAGGAGAATATCCTTAATGCTGCTGATGTTTCTTGCACAGCAGAACAATATCCACTTCAGGCACAAATAAAGGCTTTCAATTCAAATAACTATTGCCAATATTACTGAAATATTTCAAATGATTCATATATTTTGTCCCAGAATTCCATCCGTGCTTTCACAAAATTTTTCTCCATGCTTAATTTGTTGTCAATGTTCAGGTAGTTTAGCTGTGAGTCGGTAGCTGGCGTCCAGGTCACTCCCAGCAGCGGTTCAGCTTTCGGCGTAGGATTCCTGTGGATTCAGTAGTAGTTATGGAGGCATATTTCTTCACAGAAACAAAACAGAATGACCACAACTTTACAAGCAAACATTCGGCGTTCATTTCTATGCTTTCTTGTCCATGATTCAAAGACGAAAGATAAGGGCATGTCAGGTCCCTCCGGTTTTATAACCGCTCATTGTAATTAAGTCGTTATAATGCATCAAGATTTGTCTTTATCAATGGCTCTTCCAGCACATTCGAGGCCGTGGCATCCTATTCAGTACCATAATCATTTTTTCACGGACGGTAGGAATCGTTTGACGAGTGACCAGCCCGTCGCAAGGCCTCTACCTAAACACAGAATAAACACACACACACCAAACATTCATGCCTTGAGTGGGATTCGAACCCACGATCCCAGCTTCAGAGCGAGCGAAGACAGTTCATGACTTAGACCGCGCGGCTACTGTGACCGGAAATGTACCAAGATTAGTGATAGCTAATTTATAATGTAATCCATGTTAGGAGAAAGGGACATACGGAGATGGTCACATTCTTGCCCTGAGAAAGTTCCCTAGGCCCATCTTGCTGCCAGGGCATGAGATGCAACATCCGCCCTCTTTGAAACTGTAACTTTTGGCCAATTTTGAGAGTAATAAGTCAAAAGGAGGAGCGCTGGAAACCCACACTATGACTGTCATAGATCAGAGCGCTGTCAAAAGCGCCGTTTGGAATATAAGGTCCAAAGTCGCTAAACACCTATAGTTAATTGGGAAATGAAAAGTTAGGAAACCGCCTTGATTCTGAACTAAGCCAATGAGCGATGTTTGGGGGATGGAGCTTTCCGGGGGTTGCATTTCTGTGGAGACTTCTGTTCCGGGATAGTTCACTTCTGGTTTTAACTTTTGCATCGTAGGGACACGAACCTGCGTCACTCCGCACAAATTCTAAATTACACAAACTTAAACATTTTTGTAATCATTCCGAGTGGAGTGTAACTCACAAATATTTAAAGAGTGACTACAACACTGAAGTGGAGTAACAGTTAAGATCACCAGCAGACTAAGATGGTGCTGCTATCGCCTTGTGGCGAGACCAGTGTGTAGCATCTGTGTTTTCCTGCCTGCCGCAGCGAGGCACGTTAAAACCCTGGATAAGGTCTCCTGCGGTCTCCTGCCTAAGGACTGCTGAGCAGAGCCAGTTACCTCCAACCAGCCCTTACCCAGAAGGCACCGCCTCTAACTGTAAACACCCCCACTCTGTTCTTACTGGCGCGCCGTACCCAGCTGGAGTTCAAAGCGGCGCCCTCCATTCTCCCAGAAGGCTTAAAAACAGTCATAGTTAGCGCCCAACTCAAGGCGTGCAGCTGAGTATGGTTGTTTTCGTTCAGGCACTGAAACTGCTAAATAAATATAAAGTTGAAGAAAGCAGTCTTCTGGGATGTGACGCCGTGTAGATGCGGTGTTACCCGTAAGAAGAAATCCGCTCACGCTGGTTCGCTCGCGGATTTCTTCTTGTCTTCTACCCTGAAGATGGAGGCGATACGTTCATCCGAAAGTCTGTTAACACAATATCTACACTGCGCCACCTCCCAGAAAACTGCTTTCTTCATAGTCACCGCCGTGAAAACCTCAAATCTTACAAATATAAAAATTGTTAGGTGAATTCTAATTTGTGCCTCATCCATTCGGTGTACGTCTCCTTTACATGAGTATCAAACCGAACTGCGTTAATTACATGTAAAATGGGTCTACTCACTGCAAGAAACGACTGCAGACTAAATGACGCGAAGTACAGAACTCATCAAGACGTATATCTTTATGCAACACTTTTTTTTTTATACTTGATACTTAATACAATGCAGTGGGTGAAATAGTTTCATCTAAAAAATAAGCCTATATATCTCCCTGTGAAAACTCTTATTTCTGTCACAAGTTTAAGGCATGAAGCAACAGAAATTGTAATAGTTCTGTGTCATGTCCAAAGTAGAAACTCATCTCTGCCTGAACGTTGTTTGGGCTATCAGCCACGTTCGTCCACAGAACTTCCATTGACAGGGGGTGACGGGCAGGTAACTAGTATTGTCACTTATGTGCATATGCACGCCCCTCATTCAAACTCAGTCGATAACGCATAGAAGAACTGCCCGCGGGCTTAAGTGTGCATTGACTGATTTACAGACGCATGAACAATGGCCAGTGGCGACCCATGACATCATTGCTCGGTCCGCAGCCACCTGCTCGCGATACGTTGCTCCGAAACGTCGGTTCACACACGATTTACACGGCGTCACATCCCAGAAGACGGTATTCTTCAGGTTTTATTGCGTTTTGAAGTGTGTGGTACCACACCTTACGAACTTTAGCTCTACGTTGGAATTTTCTTCTATGTACTGTTTTTTTTTTTTTGGACTTCATTATACTCCTAAACGCCACATTCGTCTCCGAAATTAACCCTGTCCTTCACGGAATTTATAAAGAATTCTGAGTAAAGAAAAATTCTCTTACCCTGATTTAGCGAAATTCGTCCACAACTTCACAATTTGTGATCTGACTCTCAAGCCATCTTCATTCAGCTGTAGTCCTCTTTCTGCAGCGATGGTCATTTGGAACAGGTAGCCAAGCTCAGCCCCGTGACAGGCTCCTGAAACAAACTGCACCTTGTTGGACCCAGTAGGGTCACGTTGTTACACTGCGAAGTAACTACGAGAATAAGTAAATATGTACGCAGTTTTACTTCGTCTTAGAAGTGAAGATGACAGCACTGAACATGGCATACACCTCTCACTTACATCTAGCTCCGTTGATATAATGTGCAAAGTGTAACGACTACCTTTAACCCGATGTTTGTGGTCAGAGAGCGTGACCGTTAGTGAAATTTCCGGAAGGATGATATGCATGCATGTACTAGATACACGTAACTGCTTCCGCATTGGCTGAAAGTTCTGAGGGAGCGCAGGTACGCGTTTTGGACTACCATTGAGAAAGCTGAGGAGCAGACTGATCAGAATATCCGAGACGACAAATGAATCAGTATTGAAACTGAAACTGAAAAGAGCGTGGCGGGGTAAGAACGGCTTAATGCGCAGCAGTAAATATTTACGCTCATGGAATCAGTATACTTGTAGGTCGTTATATGTAATACGTACATAAAACAGCAGGCGATAACATAAAGCTAAGAAACTAAAGGTATCCCTGTAACAGGCCGTAAAGGCCCATAGGGTTGTGAGACGTCGAGGCTCCCACATTTTCTAGACAATCGGCTCACAGGTGGCGGTTGGTTGTCAGCCTTACGCGCCGGCCGCCGCCCTTTACCCCCAAGAATATTACTAGTACTCATTTCTGTTAGAGGCTGAGTCGACTCCAGGGCCACATTGCGGCTGAAAGGATTAGGTAAATAGAAAAATCCAACGACCTCTTTGGGAATCGAACCCACGACCAGCCAAAACAGCGGATAAAACTCTTTTCACGAGAAAATGTTAATTATTTTCAATTAAAGAAGTCCATAATTATAGTTAGTTAGTTATTGGAGAGGGTGGGTTTCCCCATGCACTTAGACCTGTATTGGTCCATTGTGCTTCCCTCTATGATTTCTACCAGTCTCTATATCCTACCGGTATTGGTGCTTACCATCAGTCCCGCCCAGCCAGCGAGACCGGCTCTACTAGCTGAGAGGTATCTATAATGCTTCCCCCATCTACCAGAGGTATTAGAGACTGCTGTTGGGCGGGAAACGTCCGTAATTTGGCTCAGTGACCTCCTTTGGAGATATGAGGTTCTTTTACGTGCCGTAAAGCTACGACACGGGACCCACGGCTTAAAGTCCCTCCCGGAGGACTTGTTCCCTGAATTTTTCCGCCCTTAAAAATTCGACGACCTCCGCCGGGTATTTGAACCCGCGTACTACGAGTCATGAGGTGGGAACGTTACCTCTAGACTACGGAGGCCGCTATAATTATAGTTACTCGTGATCTAACCTCTTCGACCAAGAAATATGGTTCAGGTTTCTGTTATGAATAGTTTTATACAATAGCTGAATCCAATTCTTTATTGAAGTCTGTCGTTGTGTTATGACGGACTCTACTAAAGAACTGTATATAATAGCACAACAGGATGAAAATTATAATAGCTGAATCCGTTACATTATTTTACGAAAAGAGTCTTTGGCAGAGTTATTCAGAAACATTACGTCTCTTGAAGTTTTGATCACTTTACGAATAACTTCACTGAACAGTCGTCGCTTCCGCCTTGCATTTGCGAGGCGCCTGTTTGCAGTTTCCTCACTGAGGTTATTTCTAGTTCTCCTGGGTCCTTGCAGGAAAATTCCGGGGTAGTACCTCCGAACTAGGCCATTCTGCGTCCTTCCAGATAATTTCAAATTCATTATTCACTGCCATCCATCAATGGACGTTACCTAGTCTCAGCAGCTGACGGTGTCGTGAAAGTGTGAATAAAATATAACGACGAAAACTGCCGATCCTGAAGACGTGTTCTCTACAGTAAACACCCTTGAGTTCGTCTTTATCGGTACAATGGGCGAGAGCCGGTGCTACTGTTCACAGTCTGACAGCGGGAAAGCAACTTAGGGAGGGTTGTCGAACTACAGCTTAACTAAATCAACATACCATTTGAAAAAATGTTGGCTCAAGTGCGGACAGCGAGGGAGTATCCAGATAAAGCGTTATAATTAGTGTATAAAATAAGCATAATTATATATCTGTATTAATATTCATATAAATTGATACAGATTTTGCGAAAATTGTTTGTTAATATTTATGTGACTTAAAATGATTTTAAAGGTCTTAATAGTAATTTCGGTTTTATTTCTTTGGAACCGCTGATACATGCGTTTGCCAATATTAACTTGTACCCTAATTTGGAAATTTTATTTTACATTTTGTTTCATAGACGCTCCGCCAGAAAGGTACGACACTAGCCGCCACTGCTTTAGTGTGGCCTAAGCCGAGCAGTTCATATAGACCGTATTGGGCTTCCTGTAGCCATGAACTGTCTTCCTGTCACGTCAGGCCCGAATCAAATCCACAACCAATCTACCGGAAACATACAGATCGCTGAAGGATTTAAGAGAAATGTTCGATCGTGCAGTGCATTGCTAATGCGAGCTGTGGCCCTGCAACAGATTTGTTGTCCTTCTATACCTGTATGCGAGCCCTGGGGTTCCGGCTCTTATACCCAGACAGCAAGAAATGTTGCTCGGCTTGAGGTTCACCCAGTGTTTTCTGCTCCCATCCTCAGGGTCGAAGAATAAATCAAATGATCATTCCGGAAAACAAGCAGGGATAGAGTTCGGGCGTTGTGCCCGCTGCTTGCTTACTTTGGGGACAGTAAGTCCGCACGAAAGTTTGTATATTTCTACAAGATTGAACGGCGTCACATCCCAGAAGATAGTACTTTGAAATATGCTTATTGTTCCAGATCCAAAGAACTAGCGACAGACACAAGAGTTGTGGATAGTTGTCTGAACTTACCTGGCAGACGATTAGATCCAAGCTCCATATCGTACAAGCCAAAATTTCCATCAAACGCGAAACAGTAGAAATAAATGGGAATTGAAGCTACGGCCACTTGCTTCCGGATAGTCTGAGTGATCCCACTGACGAACCAGAAGTCACTATAAAGCTGGGAAAAAATATCTGTGTTAGGGAAGAGAACATTCTCAGGCTGTAATAAGTTTTAACATTAGACGCTACTTTTAAACATATATCAGAAATGATATGTATGTAATGGCCGTCTTGTAGTGCACTCAATTTCACCTGTCACTTCACTACATGTTTCGGCAACATTGTGCCATCCTCAGGTGCTCTATTTACGCTAAGCTATTGCATTGCTTGCCACACGATGGCAGGTGAAATTGAGTGCATTACAAGACGGCCACTGTATACATATCATGGATGAGAATCAGTGCAACAGGACGCTAAAATACATCAGCAAACTTCGGCCATGTGTCCTTGGAAAATGGCTCAGTTCCGAAGTAGAATTCCTTGATTCTAGCAGCCAGTTCTTCATACTTGGCTGTATTCTCTTCGATCCTGAAATTATGAGGCACAGGTACCCTAAACCTCTTGCTGAGAGCCTCGTACCATGACGGGTGCTGAGCAATGTCTGAAAAGAAACACCAGAGTTTAGAAGATCAGTTAAAGGCGTCATTTTTCAGAGAGGCATTTAGAAACCAATGCATTAAACAATATTTGTTTGTGTATCACATAGTTCCTGTTTGTGCAAGCACTGGCTCCAAACTAAGTACCTGTTGAAATAGGTTAGCAGGCTAACAAATAACAATCGAAGCCGATGATTTTCTAAAATATTCCCGAATTATACAATAAAAATAGAGAGTAGCTTTGTGAATTATAAAATTAGGGCTGCCATTACATACCTTTCATTACAAACATCCCTTCATTGGAAGTGACTCCAATTATGATAGGCACTTTGTGGAATTTCCCCTGCGTTAGTATATTCGTTGGGCTGTCAGGAAGGAATGTTTCCTCTCCGTTCCGGGAGAACTCCTTAGTTGGGACGAAACACAGCGGCACTGGGTGCTTTTCCTGTTAAACGAGAAAAAGGAAGGAATTTCTACTTGTGACTATTAAGTAAAAATTTGGGTTGTTGAAGAAATATCATATTGATGTTATTTTCGTGTAATCGAGGAAAGTAGAAAATTACAGGGGGGATAGAAGGGTACATGTTATAACAGGAAACTGGTGAATTGACAGAACCCAGAGGATATCTGGCTTACTGAGAGCCAGGGACTCTCCTAACAGGTTTATCTGATTACACCGCTATACATTTTTAATTGTGTTTTTGTCGGATTATTTCGTGAACAGGTTCATTTGTATGCTTCATGCCTCTAGATATGGAAGGTGCGATAGTTAATGGTTTTCCTGAGATTCTTTCAGAAACCTCGACGGTGCAAATATTTCCCTTGGAATTCATCCTCGCGGACAAGGCTTGTTTTGAGGATGTTTTCTGTGATTCCTGCTTATCCGCCAGGGATCTGGTGTTCCCATAGTTATGCACACGGCTTCTTCTAGCGTAAACACCACACGTATCTCGAATGAAGGGTTAGTATGTTGTTTCGAAGCATCATTTAAGCCAGCGGTTATTAACTATTTTGAGCCGAAGAGACCCTTCAAACGCATTCTTATGAAGACTGCATATTCCTTTCTCAGATACGTCGGCGTTTCGGGGCATGATCTCAGTGTGCTGATAGCGAACTCTGCCAGCAGTTCTGAGATTTACTAGAAAAACCCGTAACTTGAACACTATTGCTGATAAGATCCTAGTCTAGCCAAAAAGTAAAAGGAATCTGCACTTGCCGTATTTTTCATTATTTATCATTTAAGTTAGAATTTCTTCTAAACAACATCTATCAATTAATTTCGTACCTCGTGAGAACCATATTATTTTTCCGCTACAAATATCAACCGGCTAATACTCTTGCGAAAAACATTCTCTGTCTGTAGTCAGAACCATACAAAACACACAGATAACAATCCGTGAAGACGATTAAGAATTTTAATTTGTTAAAGCAGATGGCATGTAGGAAATGAAAGGATTGCATTTATACGTGAAGCTGTCACACCGAAACATATTTTATTTGAGGTTACCACACCTGTAATTTTTAAGAATGCTATCGTCTGGACTGTAGGGGGACGTTTTGGAGAACTATCGCCTTCTTCATAAGGATCGAAGTGTACAAGTAAGGCAGGCAAGGACAAACAGCAAATACAGTTTTACTTCGAAGTAAACAAAATGATGCTAAGGTTTGACCAGCGAATGGATCAGTTTGTGTGCCGAGAGAAGCAGTTTTTGTGTCAAGGGGCAGTAGGAAGGAATGCGCTGTTTGAGAAGTATGGGTGCCCTGAAAAGGCAGAGTCAAAGCGCTGAAAGGCACAGGGTGCACGGGTCAAAGGGCCTGGAGAAACCCCTCCTTCATCCAGGCAGGAGATGAGAAATGTCCACGACTTCCTGAAAGAGAGCATTGAGCTCCTCAAAGTCGAACCCATGTGCCTGGGTCTGGCTGTGTCTCCTGGCGCTGTCCGCCACGGTTCACTCGTCCTGTGTTGAGCTCTGTCACCCTGGTGTCAGTCGAGAAGCCAGGGCTCTCTGTGCAGGTTTGACCGGCCTGGGCTGGTGGATGACTGGTGAAGATGTACCAGTACTCTTCAAACAACTATTGGTTTCGGCAGTCAGTAGCGGTACTGTCGTCGCCATTCGTCCAGGCTACTGATCTGGCATTACTCCGTGCCTTACGCGTGTTTAAGGCAGAAACGTTTCGATGAAGAATATTGAAGCGCCATATCTTTGGTGACAAATGGTGAAAGTATATTCCAGTTTCGGAAATGCGTTTGATATAAATAATGTTTTTGAGGTTGGCTTTACTCCCGGATTCAGTTGATTGGTTGTCCCAACTAGGAACCCTTTCAATTATAGGCTTCTACGTTAGCAACTTAACTGGTACATTAAAAATAAGGAAGTAATAGGCGTAAAAAAACTCCGTCAGTATATTAACAATATCTACAGAAGTGGAAAAGAACCCTGAAACGTTGTGTATTTAAAAAAACATTTGACAGTGAAAATCTTCCCTCATAATAGGCTTGTTAGTATAAGTTATCGGCCAGTGTTAGAAATCTATATAAAATCGCCATACGTGACCCTCTGTCACATAATTATTTGAAATAATATACATTAATCTCGCCAAAACTAAACTACATACTTGCTGAACTACAAGCTTCATGAGTTTGAAAAATTTAGGGCAGTCATATTTGACTCTGATGTGATGTTTTATTTGTGGAAATACGTTCAGGAAATGTATGATCTTGCGTTTCAGCTCTTCAGAATAGCATCAAGTTCCATTTCTAGAAGCTTCTTAGCATGAACAATTGATATGTGTAGCTATATCCTTTCTTAACACGCAGTTCTCACCTCTTCCGTTAGAGACGGCTCCATTGCATCCGTAAGTTCTTTTGCTGGGACCTTCATAAGGAACTCTAAAAGTTCCTTGCTGTCACTTGTATGACAGCCGAGAGCTTCCGCGTATCTGAACGCCTTTCTGCGGGCGACTGACGGGTCATCGAAGGCCCAGTGGCTGAGAACACAGCCGCTCTGTATGATAGCACGATGAAATAACCCTGTAACAGAAGATACACGTCCGTCAAAATGCATTAACAGCTTCCATTGTTCTTCGTTTTGCTTATGGTGAATGAAGGAGCTTTCCTTGCAGAATTCTTTCTCGTGTTCTTCACCGATCTGTTGGCCATTTTTCGCGTCTTTTTCTGTTCCTCACTTATCTGCTATGTTCCTAGTTAAAGGACTGAAATTAAATTTAATAATCGAGCGTTTTCCAAACCAGTGTCCTGTTGTCATACCTTTTTTTTTAATTCACGTAGTTGGGGGTGGAGTCCAATTGGGTCCACTCGGCACGGCGGCCACTGATTGGCATATTGTATCTGCCCCGGATGATTATGATGATGGAGAATTTGGTGGAATGAAGACGGGCAGGGGAAACCGAAGTACTCGGAGAAAACTAGCCCCAGCGCCACTTTGTCCACCATAAAGCCCACTTGATCAGACCCGGGATCGAACCCGGACCGCCGCGGTGGGAACCCAGCTTATAATATCTGAAGCTTTCAAGCGGTTGAAGACAATGAAATCAGCGCGGGCTATCGGCCGTCTCAGTTGGCTGGAAGTGACTGTCTCTGTCCTCATTATCATGATATAGGCTGCATTTCTATCGGCTCCCTGAGCCTACCAGGGTCGGCTTGGAGTTGAGGCCTGTTTAGACTTACGGAAAGTGGCTCGTGTTGTTCTTGCTGCGGAGTCGAGCTAGCAGTGACGGACGAAATGCGCTGCACGCCAACGGAGGCAAGGAAGGGAGGTCCTTATGGTCCTTATGGTCCTTATTCTCGCATGACGAGTCCGTGGAACGCTTTCATGATCATGGAAACGCAATCATTTCTGATTTTGTAACTTTATATCCGACATTTCTATGGGACAACTAAGAAAATAATTTCATGCAACTCAGCCCTTCTTCAGAAGCCGCGGACCGTGAAGCCGCTCAAGAACTTTCCAACACTTTATGGAACCGAAAAGTTCATTACCGTGTTCACAAGAGCCTTCCAATGGTCCCTATTCTGAGCCAGATCAATCCAGTCGATACCACCCCATTCTGTATATCCATCCACCTACTTCTGCTCGTCAAATTATGAAGCTCAGTCTTCAGCCTCCCGCTCTTTATTCTCTGCTAAATCGAAATATTCTCATTATCATCTCATTTTCAGACTTTTCCTTGGGCCAGGATATCAAATTTCAATTCTGACATTTTATTTGAAAATTAGAACATAACTGTTGCATACGTAACTACTGAATATTGTCTGGAATTTTTGACACATATATTCCTTGTGTCCGTATATTCTTGGCCTGCATGTCTGTTTCATGTGCCCCTCCCACTGGTAGCTGTTGAACTTGCTGTGTTGGAAGATGCCCGAGAGTTCTATTTCCTGTTATCGGCCGTTCCTGCAAGATAGCGCAGAGAAATCTGAAGGTCACATCGTGTGATGCGTAACGGACGGATGTTTGCAAGATTATTAAGTTATATAATGGTCACGGTTATGTCTAATGGCGGCTTCTTTTACGGGTGACGAAATATCAGGCTGCATAAAAATACGAATTTATTTTGCACAGACTACTCGTGAAACCCCTTTGTTTTCCCTTTCGTCTCTTACTTTCACTTAAATCAGTGGTGTACAAACAAATGTCTGTCTGTACATAATACCGTAAGATACCTTCTGACATTGGGGACAAGATGTGATAATGCACGCAGGCCGCCCCGGCGCTCTCGCCGAAGATCGTGACGTTACCAGGATCGCCCCCAAACTGCGCAATGTTCTGCTGAACCCAGCGCAGAGCCATCACTTGGTCCTTCAGGCCGTTGTTACCGGGAATAACTGAGTCTCCTGTGCTTAGGAACCCTGAAAAACAAGCATTATCCTCATGAGTGCAAGAGCGACCTACAGTATCCCCTACACGTCTGTAACAGTTGCTGCTCTTATATACTAATTTTATGTTGGACGTTGTAAAATGTCTGAGACATGTTTCATAAACACGTTTCTTATGTTGGTTCTAGTGTCGCAATCAAGCGACTGGCTGTTATGATGACAATTTTTTTATTTTAACAATAGTATTTACAGCAGGGCTCGCAAACGAGACATTGTGACGCGCCAGATAATGGCAGTGGTACACTGTTTACAGTACTATCCTAACATTCCCATTATTTAAGATTTGAGGCTTTCACGGCGGTGACTATGAAGCAAACAGTCTTCTGGGATTTGGCACCGTGTATATGTGGTGTTAACTGACGTTTCGGAGGAACGTATCGCCTCCATCTTCAGGGTAGAAGGAAAAATATAAGAAATCCGCAAGCGAAGAGACCGTGAGAACCGGTAAAAGCAGACTGGTCTGCATAAGATACATAAGATAAGCATGAGCTGCTTTGCAAAATCTGAAAGGGCAGGAGACAAATCCTCAGGAGGCAAACGCATCCTTATCTCGGGCCATGAGCGCAAGGGTTCAGCTGCAAGAACCAGTAATGTCGTGATCCTCAAGGGGCTTGGCGCCAAGACAAACTTGCAGTAAACCGCCAGTCGTAAAGTTGCAGTTGCCCATGTGGAGGCCGGTTCGAATACTTCCACCGTAGCCCTGCGAGTCGTAGGAGGCGACGAAAAGGGATACCCAGTGCCTGGGGTTATAACTGGGGGATGGAACCTGGCCCTCCAGGTTGGGGGAGTCTCGAATCTGAGACGTTAAAATATGGTCATAAGACCCGCAGGACTCGGACCCGTGAGAGAGATGAACGTACGTGTCCGATGTCTCAGAGCGCGAGAACCCATTGCTTATACTAGCCCGTCAAGTAAACCAGAACACGGCCGCGCCATAGCTCAAGCGGTTAGTCGCTGGCTTCCCACCCCGGCGGCCCGGGTTCGATCCTGGGTCTGGTCAAGTGGGACTTGCGGTGGACAAAGTGGTGCTTGGGCGGGTTTTCTCCGAGTACTTCGGTATATTCTGAGCGAATGGTATTCCAAATTGTCGAGGTTGTGTGGCTTCCCGTAATGCCTCATTTTGTTCTCCTCGTGTACTGACTGGAGTAGAAAGCAGCTTGACGAAATTGGGTCAGTAGTCAAAATCAAAATCACTTTACGACTCACAGTCACACAGTTTGTCTTGGTGTACAGCCCCATCATGGGGTCATGTCCAGATTCTAGTCTTGAAGTGGACAGTCTGATTTTACCGGTTCTCACGGTCTCTTCGCTTGCGGATTTCTTATATTTTTCCTTCTACCCTGAAGATGGAGGCGATACGTTCCTCCGAAACGTCGGTTAACACCACATATACACGGTGCCAAATCCCAGAAGACTGCTTTCTTCATTCCCATTATTGCCATATATGTTATGAAGAAGGGGGGAGTATATCTCACTCCGAAACTTGCCACGTGATCAGTGTACCTCGGACCATGCACAGAGCTCAGTGTAACACTGTGTACATACGAGTATACAGGTGGTACACTTACCAAGTGCGCCTAGCCGGTAGTTCAATGTGACGATCACGACATCTTCACGTATCAGGTGGTCTGGCCCGTAGCAGTCGGTGTTTGCAGATCCTATATAGAAACCTCCTCCATGGATCCATACCATCACCGGTTTGGCCGTATCACTTGTGGCTTCTGGGAGCTTAACATAAAGATACATTATTATGAGAACTGAAATAGTCGACATCCATCGCAGTTCCTCTCACCGAAGCGGAAGTACGTATATTACCTTTGGTGTATATACATTCAGGAAAAGACAGTCTTCATCTCCTTCAAATCCACTTCCGGTAAAGATATCAGTCTGCGGTGCAACAGACCTTTCAGTTTGGGCGTCACGAACGTCGCTCCAAGGGTCGGGAGCCTCGGGCGCCTGCAAACACAACCCTTTATCCGCCTCCTACTTCCTTACTTACACAGTTATTCACAAGTCACTCGTTTATCAGGCCTCTCCTCTTCCCACCATTCAGAGTTGTTCCCAAGAACAGCGTGAACACGTTGGGAATTCCCAAGGAAACACACGCACGCAATATTGCATCGAATTTTATCTGTGCTCTTTTAATTCAGCCATATGATCGTATGCGTTCATGTGGGCACTGAATTCAGTTTAACTGCTATAATAAATGGATGGATGAATACATAAAAGAATTAAAATAAATAAGTAAACAAGAAGGGAAAGAGAGTCGATGCACTACTGAGAGAAATAAAATTAGGTTATGTATCACTCAGAGGCAAAGCAATAACATCAGAAGCCTTCGAACACAGTTCAGATTAGCAGCAGACAAAGAATGGGAACAGTTGTTCAGTATTTATTTATTTTGATTGTTTATTTGCATACAAGAATCATAAATTGTTGCATTTTAGTATGTCATACTTATCATAAATATTCTTAATATTTTTGAAGTCAGCGATCAAATAAGGAATGGACTGTATAACTTTTAATTCTTTAAAATTGTGTGGACACCCTTGAGGATAGCTGACCAGAGAAACATATAAGCTGGAACCAAGCATTTGTTGGTTAATTTCGCATTTTGTGTCAAATGACCTCTTATTATAGTGTGTAAATGAAGCTGTGACGTCTTGTGCCTCGCTTTTCTGGTGGGGCGACTCTACAATAAAATGTAACTTAAGACTGTCGACTGCATCCAGTATGCATTCACAAAACTGCTCCACAGTTTGTCCAGTAGCCAGGATATATCTATGTGGCTTGTGGCTATATTTGTTACGTCACAGAGAGTGGAAATACACGTATAATTTTCACTTTCAATCCGCAACAAGAAATTACCTGTAGACAGAAAGCACGTAATCAAGGAATTCATTTTGCAGAGTTCTTATGTGCTCTTGGAGAATGTGCAATCCTGTAATTCAGAAATGATGTCGACCAGATCTAAAATATGCCTCGAATCTCTGATGCGCATGTCTCGTTGTGACCCTGTAATTCAATTTCGAAAATACCGCAAAATTTAGTATAGTCATTCATACTTCATTGATTGTTCGTAAGCTGCAGGAAATTGTTTGCCAGTACTAACTGTTCCTAGCATAGTTAAATCTGTCGCGTTTTTATGTGTAATTTTGACGATTCGTATGTTATATTTTCTTATTGTGACAACTGACAAGGGACAGACCCATCTTCTAGTCAGAGAGGCCGCCTAACAAAAGCAAAACCGTAACTGTCCACTTCAAGACTAGAATCTGGACATGACCCCATGATGGGGCTGTACACCAAGACAAACTGTGTGACTGACCGTCAGTCGTAAAGTGATTTTGAATTTGACTACTGACCCAATTTCGTCAAGCTGCTTTCTACTCCAGTCAGTACACGAGGAGAACAAAATGAGGCATTACGGAAAGCCTCACAACCTGGACAATTTGGAATACCATTCGCTCAGAAGATACCTGTTTACGTGCTAACCTAAAGCTTTGTGCGCTGGTTTTGTGGTCTGCATGTCCTGCCTGTCTGGTCTTTTTTAGTTGGCGATTTAACGATGCTATCAGGGTCGGTCCAACTCATAGATTATCATCCTAGGGCCTCGTAGTGAAAGACATTTCTACCAGCCTTGGAGCGCTGTTAATCTTTGGAACATTTCACATTTACGTAGAAGTGTAATTACAAGCAACTCTTCTCATTGACAGCCCAGTCGGTAATGTAGTCCTATACATACTACTTTATTCACTGAGAGGAGAGAGAGGCCCAAATCTACACATACGTGTCTCAGAAGTACGAACTATGCAAACAAGCATACTTCCGGTGTAGCTCATTAAGTAGACATGCAGCAACGGAAGGGTGAAGACTGCAACAGATTTCGTCACGTGGTAGGGGCATAACGGAAGTGCCCTATGCGCCATGCATTTCCGCAGACACCGTCCCCCTCTGCGTGTTCTGTGCGCCAACGAACTGTTTCTTGGGATGGACTGTGTCTGCGTCCACTTGGTACGTCGCCCACTGTTTGGCCTCTTGTACCGGCCCCCGACGATGGATGATGATTATATAACAGTCGGTGGGATGAGAACTGGCAGTGGAAACCGAAGTACTCGGAGAAACCTGCCCCAGTGCCACTTGGTTCATCATAAATCCCACGTGACCTGAACTGGGATCGAACCCGGGCCGCAGCGGTGGGAAGGCGGCGCCTAACCGCCTGAGCTATGGCACGGGCCTCAGCGCCGACGAACTAACATATGAACCGAGTTCTAGTTTTTTGTTTTTTAATTCGCTTAGTGGGGGTGGAGTCCAACTGGGTCCACTCGGCACGGAGGCCACTGATTGGCCTATTGTAGCCTACCCCGGGTGATTATGATGATGGAGAATTTGGTGGAATGAAGATTGGCAGGGGAAACCGAAGTAGTCGGAGAAAACCCACCCAAGCGCCACTTTGTCCACCACAAGTTCCACTTGTCGCCGCGGTGGGAAGCTAGCGACTAACCGCTTGAGCTATGGCGCGGCCATGTTCTGGTTTACGTGACGGGCTGGTATAAGCAATGAGTTCTCGCACTCTGAGACATCGGACACGTACGTTCATCTCTCTCACGGGTCCGAGTCCTGCGGGTCTTATGACCATATTTTAACGTCTCAGATTCGAGACTCCCCCAACCTGGAGGGCCAGGTTCCATCCCCCAGGCACTGGGTATCCCTTTTCGTCGCCTCCTACGACTCGCAGGGCTACGGTGGAGGTATTGGAACCGGCCTCCACACGGGCAACTGCAACTTTACGACTGGCGGTTTACTGCAAGTTTGTCTTGGCGCCAAGCCCCTTGAGGGTCACGACATTGCTGGTTCTTGCAACTGAACCCTTGCGCTCATGGCCCGAGATAAGGATGCGTTTGCCTCCTGAGGATTTGTCAAGTGAGAAGTCTCCTGCCCTTTCAGATTTTGCAAAGCAGCTCATGCTTATCTCAAGTATCTTATGCTACAACTGAAGCTTACTCACTTCAAGGGTCGTGTGATTGAACACCGCCTCTAATATTTTCTATGTCTGGCTTCACCTTGTCCTATCCTGCAACCACGTTCGTTCTCATGATTCTGTATGACTTCTGCCTGTAGCCTACACAATTTGTTACATAACTGTACACACACGGACAGTTGAAAGCCGCGTGAAAATCGCGGACCGATGTGCTCCTTGTGGCGTGGAGAACCTTCTTTTGTAGGCGCTGCAGTTTTGAGAGGCCCGTGTCTGCCGCTAATTCCCACTTAGGGCAAGCATAAGTCGTTACTGATCTGATCAGTGCCTTGTGGAGGTTTAGTTTAATGCAGAAGCTTAAACGCTCACTTTTCAATAGGAAGTAGATTCTAATAAATGTTCTTTGATATGAGTCGAACTGTCACTCCTATTAATTTTTTTTTGTTATATGAGTAAATTTTAATTTCTCAATCCAAACTGTATTGCTTCTCTAAAAGCGCAGTTCCTACGCATTGCGTCATTGCGATATGAACAAGGAAAGTGCCTTATCCCCGGCTAAGATTGGACGCTTGGGCTTTGGGGCTTCTTTCAGTACACACATATCTGAGAAACCCGACTGCCTTACCTGGAATCTGAGAGGCCCCACGGGAGGTTTGGCGTAAGGTATGCCCTGGAAACTGTAGTAGGTTTCGCCGGATTCGGTTGTCACGGCCTTTCCTCTCAACCAACCTTGCGCCACGAAAACAACCGCCATGCTCCAAGCTCGGGTGTGTAAGAACTGGGACTGAACTTGTTAGCAACGCCAGCCGCTCGCGGATGCACAAACGTGGCAGAGGACTCCAGCGGCACACTCTTGGGGCACGTGGTAGTGTAGTTGGTTGAGGCACTATGTTCCAAGCCGGAAGGTCGCGGGATTGAATCCCGATGAGGTCATTGGATTTCTTTGTCAATTTACCTAATCCTTCCAGCCGCACTATGGCCCTGGGGTCGACTCAGCCTCTAACAGAAATGAGTACAAGGAATATTCCTGGGGGTAAAGGGCGGCCGGCGCGTAGGGCTGACAACCTTGCCGCCAACTGTGAGCCGATTGTCGTGGGACCCTCAACGTCTCACAACCCTAAAGATGTCCACGGCCTGTTACAGGGATAGCTTTACTTTTACTTACCGTCTCAGCAACAAGAGCTGCACGTCTTATAGTTACTGGCCTTGGGATTTCACAGTCGTGAACTGCTCGTATTAACTCAGTTACTGCCTGAATATGGGCAATATTCAGTTTCCAAGTCACGTTACGACTGACAGTAAATCATGGAGTCTTCGTGTCGAGCACCATCTGGGGATCATGACCAGATTTCATTTTCAAAGTAATTGTTCCGTCGTTATGAGGCGTCCTGTCTGTCAGTTCACAAGGTCATGGTCGGCTATATTTGTTACCTATACCATTTATTATTTCACATGCATGTGTCTGCATAGTCCGCCCTGTGTGAAGCCTGGAAGCAATATAGTAAAGTGTACGATGTCTTCACTAGTCGTTGCTTGGTAACGGCTTCTAACACTGCAGATTGCTCCAGTTCCATGCTCACGTCCTTGTTGGCTGGCGACTGACACAACTGACTCGGGTTGGGTCCGGCCATCATGTCGCAATATACTGCACAGCAGTCAGTGTGAATTCTGCACCGAATCCTTTGTTTTGAAAGGACCCGGGTCTATATTCGTATTTCAGTACAATAGTAGATTTCATCCCAGTTAACTTCGAAGGTTCTAAACACAAGATACCATTATGGACTGGAGTTGACTGACGTATATGCTTTTACACTTTTAAGTCTACTGAAGCGCTGGAAGTTGTAAAACAGAAACTCTCAGCAGGTACTTTACCCGAACTGAAAAATAGAGCTTCAAGATGCAACCCGCAAAGTGAGTGAAAGATAAACTTGTGTCCTTTCCTGGTCTTGGGCTCAGTGTTCACGTTTCCGAGACCAAGTGTCCAGCCGGTGTGATGTGAAGTAACATATTCTGGGCGAGGTAAATAAAGAAAAAAATGTGGGGGGGCTACACCCGCATCATTGCAGATGTAAAAACTGAGTGCCGGCATATTTCTTTTTCCTTTGGAGCTACAGCCCCAGTTTGGGCCTTGGCCTACCTCCATGAAACTCTGTTTCACTTCGGTTTACTAGATCTTAAGACATTCGGTAGGACTCCTTGGGCTCGTGATGAGCCCCTCGCAAGGCCTCTACCTGTATATAAATACAGAAAAACGCGCGCGCACACACACAAACAAATACTAAACATCCATGCCCTGACTGGGATTCGAACCGACGATCCCGACTTCGAGCGAGCAAAGACAGTGCACACTTTAGACCGCTCCGCTACCGTGACCGGCCCCGGCATAATTTAGAAGACTTTAATTGCTTAGAAAACTGGAAACAAACAGCTGAGGCTTCTCGAAACTTGCTTCCTCAAATGCAGAATCAGTCGCGGCCTGTATCCTGGAAGCATTGTCCGAGAGTTCGTGTCTTAAATAAATATATGAAATCATTACAAGAAAGGCCAAAATTGCCCTAAAATACTAGAAATGTGGGGTTTGCGCCTATATATTAAGAAAAATGGGGATCTGAGTTCACGGAAAGTTTTTCCCCGAGCTCACGTGACCCTCGATTCGAAATTCGCGGTAGCGAACTTGAACTGAGCAACACAGCACGCGTTAGAGGCTAGTATGACATCAGAGGTCACGGCTCGAAGGTCAAATGATTTGAATCCTGGTATAAATAGCCCGTCCCTGAAATGTATTCTGATGAGATAAATTACGATAGAACTCCTGTCCTATGATAACATTTTATTGGTCGTGGTCATACTGTGACTGGATTAATCGGACGAAGGACGAAAGTTTCTGTTGCGTAGTTCTGAACAGTGTTTTGGAAACCCCACACAATCCTACATATCATGCGGCCCAATCCAATGATGGGTCATGTATGGGACAGTTGACAAGAAGATTGAAGCCAATAACAATCAAGCTGTGTCACAGCTGCCAGTCAGATGTCTTCCTTTCCTTTCCTTTTCTTTGCTTTTCACCACGAAGCAAGACAAAGGCACAATACGAAGACAGCCAATAAATCCTCTGGAAATTTCGCGACATTCAAATATTTTGGAATCATATGAACAAGACAAAATTACATTCACCAAAAATTTAAATCAGAGAAAATGCCAGGAATGCTTGCTACCATACAGTTCAGAATTTGTCTGCTTCCTGCATAAATATATAAGAACTAAAAGAGGCAAAACTATAAACCGAATTGCCGTTTTGTGTGCATGTGAAACTAGGGATAAACACAGATTGGCGTATGTGGCCTCGGCTTTCGGGAATAAGCCACGTCAAATGTTAAAACAATTTTCATCTTCCCCCCTCCGTCCCTGATCTTGTGGTATACAGTCACATGGTCGCATTCGTTTGGACAGCACCCCGCTCCTCTCTTACGTCAGATCACGCTCTCACCTCCCTTCCGCCTCCGCGTTTTGGGTTTAGATAAGGGATTTCGAACCTACTCCCCTCTATACTCTGTCTGGAGTTAGCAGTTGCAGTGTTTGCCCAAACGTTAGAAAACCTTCAACTCGCTGCACGACTAACTCTCGAAAGCGGAAATTATGGCAAGGAGATGCTTTATCGCCACTGCTTTTCAACTTTGCTTTAGAATATGCCATTAGGAAGGTCCAGGAAAACCATGTGGGACTGAAATTAAACGGGACACATCTGCTGTTGGTCTATGCCGATGATGTGAATCTACTGGGTGATAATGTAGATACCATAAAGAAAAACACACAATCTTTAATTGATGCAAGTAAGGAGATTGGTCTAGAAATAAACACAGAGGAAACTAAGTATATGTTGCTGTCTCGTCACCAAAATGCAGGGCAAAATCATGATATAAAGATAGGAAACAGATGCTTTGAAAATGTGGCACAGTTCAGACATTTGGGTACGACGATAAGAAACCAAAACCTGATTCAGGAGGAAATTAAGAGGAGACTGAATTCGGGTAATGCTTGTTACCATTCAGTCCAGAACCTTTTGTCTTCTCGTCTGCTGTCTAAAAATAAAAGTTAGAACATACAAAACTATAATTTTGCCTGTGGTACTGCATGGGTGTGAAACTTGGTCTCTGACTTAAAGAAGGAACATAGACTGAGGGTGTTTGAGAACAGGGTGTTGAGGAGAATATTTTGACCGAAAAGGGACGAAGTGACAGGAGGCTGGAGAAAACTGCATAATGAGGAGCTTCATAACTTGTACTCTTCTCCAAGTATAATTAGAATGATCAAGTCAAGGAAGATGAGCTTGGCAGGCCATGCAGCACGAATGGAGAAGAAGAGGAATGCATATAAGATATTGGTGGGAAAGCCAGAGGGAAAAAGATCACCGGGAATACCAAGACGAAGGTGGATTGACAATATTAAAATGGATCTTAGAGAGACAGGATGGGATGGTATGGATTGGACTGATCTGACCCAGGATACGGACCAGTGGGGGGGGGGTCTTGTGAACATGATAATGAACCTTCGGGTTCCATAAAATGTTGGTAAGTTCTTGAGTAGCTGCACAATTCTCAAGAAGGGCTCAGCCCCATGAGTGAATGAACGTGTGATATATTAGTGGACAATGTCTCTGTATGTTGAACAATCAACAGTACTGTGACGCATTTACCCATTGCTAGGCAACGACTCAGTATACACGTTCCTGCGAACACACAACAATAGGAGTTGTGTTCTCTTTATGGCCCGTGCTACAACTCGATGCTGTGTAACACAAAAATAATCGATAAGACGGTGTTTTCCCTGGCGTCCGACCCGAGGCTACATAACGAGAGTTTGTTTGTAGCTAGGGGGATTAGAGAACTGGAATTGGGAGTTCAGAAGCTGCAAGAGAACTGTTGTGAACGAACCAGAGTCGAGAGAACGGGCATTCCGCGTAGTAAAACAGGGGGTAAAAGAATGAGAATTGAGTCAGTTTTCAGTAGGAGATAGCCACGGGAAATTAGTAGTAGAAGAGGAAGTAAGTCAGCCTGTGCAGACTAAGTGCGTGATTAGTAGATTTAGTCACAGTGACTCTTTAATTCCGTTACCAGGATACGACTAGGGAAGATTGAGAATCCTAGTGCGTGTCTAACGGTGAACTGTGAGTTATGTAAATCAGCGATAGCGCTGTATTGTTTGTAAGTACGAATCTAGTGCAGAAGGTGTTAATAAATGCAATCCAAATCCTGTCTATATTCACTAATAATACACGTGACCTTATGAATTCCATTTTTATTATTTTCTTACCCACGATCAAGTTATCACTTACAACCGGGTTTACCTGTAGAATAAATATGCAATACAGTAATGCATTTATCGGAAATGTTCTCTGATGCCGGCGTAACTTACGTGGGGGGGCATACTGAAAGCAGTAGGACAGAAAAGTCTGTTCTTACTGTAGTTAACCGGCAAACGCCGTGGAGAATAACCAAGACCAAATAGTGATGAACTGTTAGAACGGAGAGTCAGGAAGATGACTGAATATGGGACACACAAATAAAGCAGTTATCAAGTGGTTTCATGCTTCTGAGTTAATTTCATTTGCTTCGGGTTGTCTCATGTTTTGTTCTGGAAACAGGGTGTTTCGTGACAGGTTTGAATGTGGATTCACATAGGCCTATTGACCCCGAAGGCAATAATTAAGTGTATGAAGTAGAGTTCCTGAGAAGCTGACAGACGTCAGAGTCATGAACCCAATCTGGCCTATCCTTTGCGGAACATTAAGGTTGGCCCTCTTGTGTAAAACAATTCGCAATATTTTACTTTCTGTACCGAAATAAGAAAACAAAACCTTCGCAATACATACAAATTTATATAAGTTTATTTAAATACGTTACAATATATATAATAAATACAATAATACATTCATAGTGACGTACATAAGGAACATAAATTAGGTAGGTCCGATATAAAAATACTGTGATATGTAAGGAGAAGCAGCGTTGCATGCATCGTAGTGCTGAAACATTCTACACTTATGTGAGCAAGTCATACATCACGAGAGTCCAATTCAGACCTAGTCTCCTCCAAGCACGAACTGAAACATGATATTTTCGGGATTACCGGATTTTTGGACTTCGTCTATGATCCGTTATTCTAAAGAAAAGAGCCTCTCAGAAACTGGATGTTCCCATCGTCACGTAAGGCACCTACTCTATTGCGTCCGTTAGGAAGAGCTAACCTACATCACTGAACCTGCGACTGAAGTTAGCTCTTCCTAACGGACCCAGTACAGTAGGCGCCTTTCTTCTGTAGACGGGAACAGAAATGCGTTCCTTGTGTTATACACCAGTTCAGAACCTTCTGGAACTGAGGCACGTTTGCGATACAGGGTGTGTTTATACTGATTTAATATTGCATTGTTGTTATGGTATCGTTTACTGAACGCTGATGTTGACACAGCGTTAGATGAATGGTGAGAGGTGAAAAGGCAAAATCACGTGTCCATGTGGAGCTTCGTTTACAAACAGATTCAAATGAAATGACGGGTCTTCGACATGTACATAGAAGATATTTTGGTTTAATTTCCTCTACGCAAGAACATATGGTTTAAAAATAAATTTTGAATAGGAACAAGCCAAATTACCTGATTCGTGGAAGCTGAAGAAGAAAACATTAATGATGGTGTCATTAAAATTAATTGCAGTTTTTGTATTCACGTAACTTTCTGTGCACCCAACCGTTACAAATGTTACTTTCCGCGCAGATTTATATCACTGTTATACATTAACTTTTAATAACAAATACTGAATATGGGCAGACAATTCATTTCTAGTGGGGAGGTGGGTGTACCAGAAATGAATACTCCCTGGAGTCCAGCGGCTCAACGATCAAATCATTTCTTGCAAAAGAATACACTTTATTACCACTGCACTGTCGGCGACATGGTCTATCATGAACCTTCCGTTTCACAGTTTCTTACTCATATACAGTCGCTAGGACGCCTTGGGCGGGGGATCAGCCCCTCGCGAGGCCGCTACCTACACAGGACAACACAGAATAAAAGCAAAAATCCATGCCTCAAATGATATTCGAACCCATTACGCCAGTGTTTAAAACAGTTCATGGTTTGGACGTTGCGCTCGCTGTCACCGGCGAATAGGCGTTACTGGTATCTCGAAATGCATGAGAATTCGGTTGCTCTTGGGGCTCTTTTATGAGGCTGCCAGTGTCTGGATTGTACTGTTTCGAAAGGTATTAAAGACACTCCCTAAACCGAATCTGCAGTGAGCAGCAGTCAAATATCTCATTCCTGTGTTGTAGGCATATGGGTACCAAATGAGTATACGAAACATAAACACACGCACCAGGAAACGGAAGACTGCATTTGTCAGAATCTCAGTATTTTTCTTTGTTTATTTCTGGGGGGTTATAACATTTTTTCTGTGTGTACAAGAAATTAAAATGTAATAACAGCTGTAGTGATGATATTGGAGTATCGCTGTGGACCACACATAATTTCGGTCCGCGGCTCATAGTTTGCCACCCGAAAAATAAGATCACGTTAATCAGGTATACAGCATGACGAAAATGTTAAGACGTCTCACAGTCTAGACGTATATAATTATAAATCTCATCCCTACACAATTTGCTCCCGCTGCCTGTTAAACTTTACTTTTGTACTGTTTCAACAGTCTTTTTCGTTTCAGTTCAAAAGATTCCGAAACACCAGCTCGACACATTTTACTCATTTAGGAATTTGAACAGAGACAGAATTATCTGACAAAGACAAAATTCCAAATCCCTTCTATCTATTTATGTATCTATCTATCTATCTAATATAATCTATTCTATTGTGCCTTGGTTATTAAGGTAAAAGGTAAAGCTGTCCCTGTGCTTAACTTAACTACACCACAAAGGCGTAAGGGCGAGTGGATGTATATAACCAATTTTTCTTGACCTCGGCACCAGTTGGAGGTGAGTGGTCAACTTCACACCCCGGACGATTTACCCCCGGGGGAAAGAGCCCCTGGTACCCATTGGATAGGTGGTTAGGTGGACTCCAGAGCCGGTCTGGACAACGTGGAGAAGAGACCGTAAAGGGACTTGAACTCCGACTCCTCAGTCGCCCAGCCTGTAGACTACCGGCTCGTTACCCATATCTGTGTACATAATTTAACTACTAACAGAAAAACGAAACTGACTGGCCGAACGTAAATATGTCTTCCCGTGCTACTAACGACCACCACTGTTCACTTCAGCATTGCTGTTACGCACATTCAGATAGCGTCAGACTTTTCGAGAAGAGGTTCGTCTGTACTCATCAACGCCATTTCAGTGTATAATTAATTCTGATTAATGCTTCATGGTAAAAGGTCGTTGGTTATCCTTCTCAGAAGATGAAAGGTACATGCGTTACACCAGTAAATCGTCATTACTTCCGTTACACGTTCTTACAATCGAACTGCATATTGATTGGCAGACCTGTCTCATAAAACAGTACATAACTTGTGAGCTTCATTAAGTTAATGTCGTACCGCATATCTCATTCGTAGAAATAATGCAAAATCTTCAGGGTACGTTTCCTGTTGTGTGTCACACAGTAGCGTTAATAGGACCACCTACACAACAATAATATCCACAAACGAAATTGATGCGAGCATATTCGAAACATGTAGCGAACGCTGTGCCTAATAAACGAATGTTTATACGCTAGTATCGATTTGTTTGTCGATATTATTGTTGTGTAGACGGTCCTATGAACACTACAATAATGTAGTAACCACGTAAATGTCACTTAACGTGCCAAGTATGCGGCCATCCGGCCAATGAGACTTCAGATGACTACTCTTCAAGCGAACGAAACATGTCCTCCCAGAAAGTGATACGTTCCTTGTTCAAATGAAGCTGCATGGTGAGCTCCGTGTCTATGTTGAGGTACCAGCGATCTCCCAGGGCAGTGGGCTTCCATATCACGTTCAGGAGCCAGTCCTTCTTCGGAGTGGGGCATCTGCAAACATCAGACACAGACCCGAGCTGCTTTTCGTACAGGAAAGTAAGATAGACTTGAAAGGATTCTGACGATGGTGTATACTGTACTTCTTTTGGACTTCACCCATCGTCTGGTATGTAAAAGACAAAACACCACGGCTTTTCGATCACTGGATTGAGAACAGCTCTTTCTAACGGGCCCAACTGAGTAGGTTTATCCTTCCCTATCCACCTGAAGACGGAGACAAATCCAGTCTCCGAAACGTTGTGGTGTTTTGTCTTTTACATACCAGACGATGGGTGAAGTCCAAAAGAAGTACGTCTGAAAGAGACTGGCCAAAATTCAGTCTTCTTCCCAGTAAACATTTATGATGCTTTGAAATATATAACAGCTGTTTCACAGAAGGTACACCAAATACAGTTAAATTCAAATTGAATAAACCAGGACGTTTATTTTGAAATATTTTGTCAATTCAACTGTTTTCTGAAAAGCAAAACTGATGCCACGAAAGTTCAAATCACAGAAGAATTCGACTAATTCCGATTTTACAGGGAGACAGTCTCAGTTAGAGTCTGGTTCGAATGCTGAATTTGGGGCAAATAGTTTTCCATTATTTGTTGTTGAGGTTGAAATTTCAGCCAGATTTATTCAATGATCTCCCTGTTTACTGGGCTACAGTTGCACCCAGAGTGACACAAATGGTACATACCCTGTTTTCGCGAAGTTTGCCCACATCTTGACAAGTCTCGACCGTGTCTTTGCCTCGGGACTGTCAGGGTCCAGATCGGGGTCCATGTGCCCCATTCGGAACAAGTATCCTAACTCATCAGAGTGACACACGCCTGAAAATTAAATTGAATCATGCGAAGTTAGGAAACTTCTCGCGATGTGTTCAAATGTCTCGGTGAGATATTTTAATCACTAATTCTAAACGCAATGATTTTTGTTTCTGTGACTGAGTTTGCTGTCAGTTTGGTAAATTACTTGACGATGCCATATCAACTGACGGAATGACTTAGGGGCCCAACCAGCCTCATAATCAATTTGTACATGGACCATTTCCCCGGGGATAAAGCGGTCGGCGTGTGAAGCTTTCCATTCACCTCCAGCTAGTGCCGAGGCTCAACAATGGTGGAGCTATACCTCCACTCCGGCATATGTCTTCATGGCATAGTGCTTAATTAATTACGAATAGGGACCACTTTACCTTGATATATTGCAGATGAGAATTATTACTGAGTACTTTGTGGATTGATCGACAAGGAAAATGAAAGGACCACAACAAAACAAATCCCATACAGCTCTTTCCATCCCTTTTGATTGAGCCTCCCTACATCAATTTTGGCAAATAAAGAGCCCGATTATTTTTGCCACCACACCAGCCAATGTAAATGAAATTCGGGGAATGCATCAGGTTCATTCATCGGGGAATGACTTCCTTCTGCTTAGGGGACAGCGATGTTCCTCGGGGCAGGATGGCTGTCAGCACCTGAGGCTACGTAGAAGTACAAGTGATGATTTATACATTAAGAAGAGGGCCACTTGGGAGACATGTACGTAAACTGGAGAATATTAAAATAGTTCATAGAGAAACAGAGTCTAATGACGTGGCCTGTGTTCAGGACAAGTTTCAATGTAAGAGACCTTAGAGAGTTCTCCTACCGTTTGTGCACTAGCCACAGGCAGCAATAAGAGCACATAACCATTCACCCAACGTGGAATAGAGCCATCAATCCCCGACGCTGACAGTAGCTCAGCCTGTATGACAATAATTGGCCTTATTTGAGGCGCTATCCCGGAATATTGCCTGAAGGGACTGAGGAAATCCACGGAAACCTCAGCGAGGATAGCTGATTTTCTAGGCGAGTTTTGAATACGAAACAGGAGCGCTACCATAAGACGACAAAGCGTTCGTTACTGTGTATATGAAACATGCCAACTGTAACACTGGTACAAACAGACCTGAGATCTCGCTTTGGCATTGACCTGTCTACATCCGTTCCGAAGGAAGCGGTTCACACATTGTCTTCAGGATAATGCAGGACTCCGCCTCCACAACGATTTAGTAACCGATTAATGATAGCGGCCTCCGTAGTCTAGGGGTAACGTTCCCACCTCATGACTCAAGGTACGCGGGATCAAACCTGGCGGAGGTCGTGGAATTTTTAAGGGCGGAAAAATTCAGGGAACAAGTCCTCCGGGAAGGACTTTAAGCCGTGGGTCCCGTGTCGTAGCTTTACGGCACGTAAAAGAACCTCATGTCTCAAGGAGACCTCTGAGCCAAATTTGTAAGGACATTTCCCGCCCAACAATAGTCTCTAACGCCTCTGGTAGATGGGGGAAGCATCTAGATACCGCTGAGCCAGTAGATGCCGAATTCGCTGGCTGAGTCGGGACTGATGGCACGCACCAGTACCGGTAGGGTATAGAGACTGGTAGAATATCACAGGGGGACGTACAATAGATCAAACTGGTCGCGGTGCATGGGGAAACCCATCCCCTCCAATAATAATAATAATAATAATAATAATAATAATAATAATAATAACCGATTAATGATGCATGCCAAGAGCAAGTTCGTACTCTTTTATATAAAATTCAGGACGTTTTATTCTTTCGTTTCATCAGCGTAGGACAAACAAAGTCGCAAGTGAAATTTGTTGGTCCTCCCCGTGCCCCATAATAAAAAGTAAAGTTTTGGAGATTTGAGAGGCATGTGTGCCCCCCCCCCCAAGGTTACTGTCGGATCAGTTAAACAGGGTTGTCTAAAAGTAACGGCGGTTTCAGTAACACTTCCACTTTCCGAATTTGTATCCGATTGTACACAACACAGAAACAAATTTAAGTAAACACCGCTCCCTGCTTTACAGCCCTTTAAATCAAAGTGGTTGCTTATTTAACACTTGCTTTATAATTTAATATCCCTGGGTCCCCCCCCCCCAGCAGTGCTTCTCGTGCCTCTCACTATGAAGAATTATTTCCCTAAAAATTATTAACTGATTGGGTTTTGTAAGTGAGATGCATTATGTTTTCTGCGAGGTTCCAACATTGTTTAGATGGGAATCCTTCTTCAGAGGGCTAAAGAATAATACGTACAAAATAAACATCAACATACAAAACAAGAAATGTCTGCTGAGCGCACTAAATGGGTAGGATTTATACGGACTGAGAGTAAGCTAAGAAGAATGCTTCCTGCGAAACATGTTTCCCACCACCACTACTACTACTACTACTACTAGCAGAGTAAGATCACGTGGCCTTTCTAGAGCCCAGGGAGTACTAAAGCAAGCAGTAGAATATAGAAGATATAAATAATTTTTTCACCATAAGATTCGGTTACATAACTTTGCCCACTCAAATATCATTCTCCTAAAAAGTTCTTTCTTATCCAAAAAGAAAGCTTATACGTATAAATGGTGAAGCGCACAAGAAGCTTCAGAATTTTACTCCATTAAACACTGCAATCGAACTGACTTTAGGAGCAGCAGTCATTACAAACACACTGAAACCATAATCTAGGAGGAAGACGATATATTTCTCAGGTGAGCATTATGCAGTCATGTTGCCATGTTAACTCCTTGTCCACAATTGTATGGTCAATGCGCTTCAAACCGGCAGAGGAAAGTATGGAATGAAATCTGCTGCTAGTTACATGAAGACATAACAGGCTTCCCAGCATTTGGCTGGCCTGAGTTGGCCTTTCAAAGGGCCGGTATTCCCAATACTAGCCTCACGGGCCACTTGTTCCCTTCTTAGCTTCTCAAAATCCAACGTATATACACCCAGAAACTCATCCACCCAGCACACTGAAATAATTAAGCTTATGAATGTTCGCTTCGAGTAATTACTGTTCATTTTGACTGACGAGGTTGGTCACTACTGAGAGGGACGACGTCGAGATGAGACCACGGTATTAATCGCGATATTCCGAGAGTTTTGTAGCGGTGATGACTGGCCAGCTGACCCTCACTGCCCTGGGCAGCACAAAGACAGTTCGTCCTGGTGTAGTAATAGTAATACTATTAGGGACTTTGATTAACAGCTATAAGAAGAGAGAGAGAGAGACACCGATAAGTTGCATAAACTTAACTATCAGATATCAGAGCACAAAGGCATTGTCTGGAAGTCCAGAAGTAACGGTAGCACGACAAAGTTGTTTAGTGAAGCAGCACACGATGAACATGCATGGCGAAGTGGAGATATATCTCCATCGTTCTTGATCTCGGCGCTAGATGGAGGTGAGCGGTCAGTTTCACGCCCCGGGTCTCTTTACCCCGGTGAGCGAGCCCCAGTACCCGTCGGAGAGACGGTGATCTGGACGCTGTAGAGAAAAGATAAATGTCCTGACCTTCCGCAACCCGTCGCTATGACGTAGGCAGCACAATGAAGCAAGTGTACAGTGCTGTGGGACAGCATCAACCAAGCACACTGTACACCGTGTAGGTTGGAACAAATTCAAATTTGGCAAATATCAGTTGACAGTATGAAGCAGGAGAAATTCCACTTGCAGCAAGTACTGGAAGGACGAAACATCTACATGTTCAGTGCCCTGCATGGTACAAACACGGTAACCTTAAAGGGTGTCCACACAAAAGTAAGCCAAGAGTGGAAACGCTCCCAGGGGAGACAACTGACGATGGGTGCACGAGTAGAATGAAACGATTCATCTGAACGGAAACTGCAAACGGGAAGCAAAAATGTGGAATGCAACGGGAAATCTGCAGGCAGAGCGACACGAACCGCAGCACGAAACTGCGTTCGCCCTTCAGATCACTGGCAATGGAAGGAGACGGTCCCTCTCACGTCTACATTCCTTCAACTTCTTCTCGACTGTTTGTCGCTTGCCTTCTCACATTATTTTCCCATATGTATACTGCCAGAAGTGCTTTCCTGTGTTCTCTTTGTGCAGTTTATCATTTCACTATATGCAATTTCGTCATTCATGTGTAAACATATTTTACCTAAAGATTACATTCTGCACTTCTTTTCTCCATGGACAACTTAGTACAAAAAGACTCCGTGGCCTGTAGTCCGCAAGCGAACTCTACCAACCGAGCGACCGCCGCTTGTCGGCGAAGTCAGTGCCAACTCTAGCGGACAGAGGGTGTCACGTGGTCAGAACAATGAATCCCCACGGCCGTTAATCTCGGTTTTGTAGACCGGCACCGCTATTTGCTTGAAATAGCTGTAGCTCCTTAATTATCGTCACGATGCTGAGTGGACCCCGTTCCAGACCCACTACCTGTCAGAAAATCTGGTACCGCCAGGAATCGAACCCGGGACCTCTGGATCTGTAGACAGGAACTCTGACCACTAGACCAGGGACTCGGTCTCAGGTGAACTTTGCAACTTTGACAGTTCTCAACATGGCGAAGGATATTTCATATCGATCCACGCCACTGTGAAAACAAATTTCCCGAATAATTTCGATTTTAGATTTTTCCCACGATTATGATATTTTAGCATTACCTGGATATTGCGTCATTCCGAGTAGGTGTTTCATGTACGCCAGTTTTCCATCGAATGAAAACCGGTAGCAGTATACAGGGAATGCAGAGTGTACGAGCTGTCGTTTGAGTTGCATGTAGATAGGAAAGACAAACTGAACGTCAGTGTTCATCTGTAATAAAGAACAAATACATATAGAGGAGTCTGTCAGGGACACTGACCTAGTGTTAATACAACTCAAATTTCATTACCGAGACAGCCTGCCACTGTCCTTACTCGGCTCAGTTCATCGAATATCGCAATCAGCTTCCTTAAGGAGTCCCACCCCATCGACATCTTCATAGTCATAACTCGTTACTCAAGGGTTTCCTTCAAAATACTCATTCCGTTTGTCCGCTCCCCACAGGGAAACCTTCTTAACATCTCACCGATTAATTTCTTCAGCAACACAGAAATGTGGCGTGTATCTGTAATAAGAATACAAATGTCCGTCTTTATTTTACAAAATATAACTTTTATTTGAATTGTGGTTTCAAGGCCCCTTATGCAATAGAATCGGAAAGACAGCCTGCTTCGAAGTAAAGTAGGGACCTTCCTCTTGTGACTACACCGCATTAACATTAAGTTCTAGTCTGCAATATGCAGCAACTCTTGTGTCCTGTCAAGGTAGTTTGCTGTGTGCGCCTCCACGCCCATAGAGAATCCAGTGTTGAAGACGTATGTTCATATTGTGATCGCACGCACCTGCAGACGGACCTACCTAATTTCCCCTTTCCTCGCATCCTAACGTAGTTTCCCTTTTATACCCCAGAGATCGCACTGCACCGCCCGGCCACAGCTGTGCCTGGTGACGTGGTTCTCTCACAGCGCCTCGCCTAGCCAGTCGCTTTACCAGCTTGGCTCACCTCAGCACTGACTACGGAGGTAGTAAAAGTCTCTAGTCCTCTGAAACCTTACATGCTGCAAGGATGCAGGGCTTTCAGACCCGCGGGAGACCGAGAGGAGACAGAACCCGGTCTGAGCCAACAGGCTCCAGTATTCGTTACAGGATGGAACCTCATTTCTGAGAAAAGACTGCCCTTCTCAAGGGGATTGTGGATGGGAAATAAGAAAGCACCCCTCCTTTCCGGACCTCATGTAGAAGGGTCTCGCCCCGGAAAGTGATTATCTTGTCCTAGCAAAAGGCCTTCTTCGTTTCCTCTAGGAAGTTGACATGGAGTTTCCTCAAGACAAGAGAGAAGGGTTTTCTTCAGTGATGAGACAGTCAGATATTTCTGGGACGACAACCCTCTACACGACCCGGAAAATGGAGTTGTTTTTCTCACTTACCTCGGCAGTGGCCCTTGAAAAGGTAATTTCTTTCCCATAAATCCACTTTGTACTTGTGTAGCCAATCCTGCCGTCACTAAAACTGCTGTTTTCACTTTCCCCTGTCCACCGCTACTACTGTCCTACACAGGGTTCTGTCCCCCCCCCCCCCCTGTGGATCTGAAAGCCCACCTTCACTGCAACTTTCCTATATAGCGTGACTGCATCCTTACCGTACTGACTTCCACCATGAAGACAGAGGAAGCATTTCCTTCGAATCGCTGGTATCCACTAGCAAGAATACACGGTGTCACAACCCAACAGACCACACTCTGAGTAATGAGTGCCGTGAAGACAAAACGATGCAGTAACTCCGAATATATCAAGAATCTTCTCTGCAGTCAGGACCTCATGTCTTATTCTGTGGAACAAACCTCTGAGTGTGGCAAAGGAATGTTCGTGCCAAACTGCTCACTTACTACAAAGCTCTTGGTAACTACGGTTTCGTGTAAACTGTCACGCCCGTCACGTCTCGTCTTATCGGAAACTGCTGCTTCAATTTTGAAGAAATGTATCTATTTTTAAACTGTGGAGTGTTGAGGAGGCCTGAACAGGTTCATTTCATTGTGAGTGCATCACACAACGAGGCTTTGAGAAGAATTCAATGTTTAGTGATATAAAGAGCACATTCATGACATGAGAAGCAACAGTAACTCCGGATACTCAAGCCACATACTGAACAGTGGACATACATAGGAACAATGGCAGATTCCGTGGAAAATATCTGAATACTCTAAAAGATTATCACATTTATGAAATCAGTAGAGGTAATCTGCATAAGAATGCGACATACACTGACACACACAATCCCATATTCGAAGCATTACACGAAATTTACGCAGGATAACAGTACACGCCCTCCTCCAGCACTGCCTTCCAACCCGGTATATTATAAATACGGGAGCAAGCGCAGTATACGCGCATAACAACAGCATACACAGGCAGAGTGGGTATATAAAGTAAACAAACACAACACGACACTAGACAGTAAATAAAAAACATCAGTAATATGTGGGTTCTTGCATATTGCAGACGATAACCACAATGGGCTTAAACACGGAAGCCAACACGCGAACACTCAAACCCAAGGAGACGCATATCGAACTAGATCGTTTGAACAAATGGACGATGCCCCCTAGCACAGGTGTAAAAAAGAATTTTACAAGAAGTTTATTGAATTATAAATTTAAAAATAAATTAGAGCGTATGGAATTTTAATTAATGTTAATTAGGTATCGATTGTAACATCCAATATTTTAAATCATGAAATATCGCAGCTACATATGAGGTGAGTAAGTGGACACTTTATACGGTGGAACAGTTTCGGCATAGCTGAGACACCTGATGATGACCATTTGCTGCCGCCGAAACATGTTGTGAAGGGAAGAATTGATAATGATAGTTGCACTGTTGACGGAATTATATTGTGTATGAAAAGTATATTAATGTAACAGGATGCTTAAATACAATATTTAACGGAAATTCAGCTGAAATACTCAGTTCCTTTAGCTGGAGTTAATAATCCGATATAATAATTTATAAAACATCAGAGTTGTTAATCCAAATATGAAAAACTATTAACACTTTAGAGTGATTATGTTTCAGCATTTATTAGCATAATTCACAAGTAAGTGCAGACTTTCCATTCAGTTTCGGTGTGGTACTAATTATATGCGACCTGATTATGAAAAATAATATAAATACGAGATTTTGATGAGAGCTAAAAGGGAGGTGACATGTCAAGTTTCAGACCCACTGCTTCCAAGCATGGCGTTCATTTAAATTTAATTGTAACAGTTTGGTTTCTTCTTCCAAGAACACACCCCGCATATCCCTATAATGATAAGCGTAACTGTATTTATTCGCAAAACTAACCCAGAGCAATACATTCAGTCTCTGGGCGTAACGCCTATCACTGAACTTCAAAGCTGATGGCACACTGCTTCATAACTCGTACACGAACTGCATTTTCAGCATTTCAGTCTGTTGAAGAAGTTGTTATAGTTTCGAAAAATACTCACATTTCTTAATTTCACTGTAACGCCCGTTGCTTATGACAGTGAGTGTTGAAGGAGCCCTCTGTTTTCAATGCCGAACCGAGCTTACGGAAGCAGAAGCGTGAACGCACATTTAGGAGGCGCCCGGACTTCAGCTTGGGCACTGGCTCTTACATTTGGGTTTCTCGTAGTTTAGTTCAGTCCCTCCAGGCAATTACTGGGGTGCGCCACTATCGTTTCCTCCCCGGTAATTTCAAATTCAGTGAACACGAACAAGATCTGCAATCCAAGTATCCGTCTGCACGTGGCACACACATAAATGCTTATTGCCGTTGCAGGCTGACGGCACTGACCCCCGCTCTGCTCTACTTACATCCACATACTCCAGCAAGGTTTCCTGGCACAGAGGCCGGTCTCCGAAGTAGAACTGCCTGATCTTCCGGGCCACTTCCTTCAGCTGTCTGTCACTCAGTTCGGTGTGAATTATTTTTCTAATCAGTAGCTCGAAGTTCTTATTGTAGATATCAAGTTGTTGTGGGTTCAGCTGAATCTCTTTTGGAAAGAAGAAGGAATAGAATTAGCAATTCTGCCATTATATTCTAGCATGTAGACACGTTGCAAGGCCTCTACCTAAATATAGAATAAACACATACACATACCAAAGATCCATGCCGTGTGTGGGATTCGAACCCGCGATCCCGGCTTCCGAGCGTGACAAGACAGTACATGGCTTAGACCTCTCGGCGACCGTGACCGCCTTAAGAGAAGGACAAACTAACAAAAGAAATACTTCCAAACTTAATCAGAGTCGCTAGTTGAAAGAACACACTCCTCATTACACAAAACACCAGCCCTCTCATATTCATATCTTTCGTAGGGCCGTACTTTTCACTCCGTGCACTGAATCCAACAGTCGAAAGAGTCATCAGCACAGGCTCCGACGTTTCTTGGCGCAGTCTGCATGCCATTCTTTTATCGAAGACTCCAACCGAACAATTACGGTCAGAAAGAGGGCGTCTTTCGTTGAAAATATTGAAATTGGGGTCTCTGAAAAGTTGGACTCTAATCTTCACAAGGCTAATAGCCCAAGAAGACTCGTTCCATACGGGTGCCGCGAAAACTTCAAATTATATAGTTTTTAATGCTGAATGATCCCAAAGTTTCTTGCACTCACTCAGACACACACCGAAATATAGCCAAAAGTGAGACGTTTCTTGTATACTTCTTACAGTATTAAGCATGTTTAAATATGTGATTATCACCTGATGCTACTGCCAAACTTACCTTTAAGCATAATCAGGCCTTCGTGTGAAGTTACTCCAATTATATAGGGCACTTTGTGGGACCTTCCCTGGGTCACCACATCAATCGGAGGCTCACTAAGGAAAATTTCTTCTCCTTCTATCCTCCCACGCTCAATTACAGGCGCAAAGAAACATTTTCCGCGGTACTCCGCCTGTTGTACAAATAGCAACAGCACAGAGTAGACCACATTTATTTTCAATCAAGCAACAAACAAACAAACAAACAAGATAACTACTAATTGCAGGCGTATAAGCTAGATATGCTGCGAAGGAAAACGCGTACAGTGGCACGGAGAGTGACAAATACTCTCTCTCTCTCCACAATTTTACTCCAAACATCTCTTTCACTACTGTAGTTGTTTGGTGGGTGAACGCAATTACAGACAAGCAGAAGGTAAAATCATATATGAACACATGCTTCGTATTTTCATGTTACATACTACAATTTCAACACAGTGGTCCACTATTTGTATTACAAGAATGTATGAAAACTGGATATATTACAATCTAATTGCATTTATCTTTATTAGTTTGTAATGGCAAGTAATTCCATGTTAATCCCCAAATTCTTTTTCACAACTTACATAAAAATAGGATTAATTTTTAGTTATTTAATTTCCGGATATTAAGAGACACTATAAAAAGAACGTGTAAGTTTCTCTGTCCAGCAGACTGGACTGAAACTACAGGAAGTCGAAGAAGGGATTAGAAAGCATATTAAAGAGCCCATACTCGAAGGTCACGCGCCTTATATCAAGGTCCATGAAGACTGCAACTGTAAGTTATGTAACATGGGATCATATCTGGTCACAGTCAGAAACCATAATTATCTGGGATACAAGAATTTGTGAGATTCACATGACGAAAATTTCGTGCAGTGCCAAGTAAACTGCGTGAAATATGAAGGAAGACGAATGCTTCTTGTGCTTATTTTAATGTGCACTGGATTAGATTTTACGATAGTTGTTTTTTGTAAATATGTGGTAATAGTTCAAGAACAAAGGCACGCGAGAGTGAATTTCATAGCACTTCTTAGGTAAGATGAATTTCAAATGAAATATATACAAAATGGCTATGGAAAACATGGGCACTTAGGGCTTCCAGCGATTGGTATTCCACCGTTCCAATTCAAACTCTGTTATAGAAGGCGCTACCTGCACTCTTACTACGATACAGATTCAAAATATCCCACCAACGAGCCTGGAATATGGCCAGGATATTCATAGAATGTCTGAACAATAAGCATGAAAGTTGTCACTGAGTATTTTCTTGATATGGATCCTTCTTCAATTATAAGATCGTAATTTTCCTGAGGCTGTGGTGTACAAAGACAGACTACTGAGTATTAGCTTGCTATCGCAAGTCATCTGCTTGTGCCAAGCAACGTGACAGACATGTCCTTACCTCCATCGCTTTAATTTTGATGACGCCCTCTACAAGTCGCCGCACTGGCACAGTACGAAGGAAGTCCATCAATCTGTTTGAGTCATTAGTCCTACATCCCAGCACCTCCCCGAGCAGAAACGCTTTCTTCCGCGGGCTCTCGTCCAGTGCCCATGAGTTGATGGCTGACCCACTTTGAGATATGGCGTGGTGAAACAGTCCTGCAGGAAATTTGTGCATTGTGACCACACAGCTTCTCGGGGCAACATGTTACGTTTGAAACAGAATATCGCAGCAAATAAAAGCAGCTCAAATCAAGTGTGGGTTCGACCTTTCTTAGTTTATGATAAGCTAAGTAGGGTTCATATAAGGTTGTGTGTTCTGACGCTATTATTTCCATGGAGTCCTAGCGCACTATCGGCAAGCACTGGCTACCCAATCTTACCAGTCTGGTAAGTGTGACATCTCGATTTAAAGTAAGGAATTTTGCTTTGTAATGCGTCATTACCTTCAGACATGGGAGATAACATATGAAAGTGTACACAAGAACCCCCGGAACTCCCTCCAAAGATGGTGACGTTGCCAGGATCTCCTCCAAACTGCGCAATGTTCTGTTGAATCCAGCGTAGAGCCATCACTTGGTCCTTTAGGCCGTTGTTACCGGGTAACACCGAGTCTCCTGTGCTCAAGAATCCTGGACAAGGGATGATGCAATTATTTGGAAATGCATGCCTTGTGCAGCGAAATACCATACATAATCATCAATATAATCATCATTTTTACTGATGACTGATTAATTATTTCGTTTAAATTTGTATTCACAATTCTTGGCACAAACTAATCATATTAGTCAGAACGGCTTACATTGATGGATAATAAAATGGAGTCTGAGGATGCGGACTGCTTAACATGGCTCGAATAAAGACCAAAGGCGACAATGAACCCTCGTATTTCATAAATAGAGGGAAATCTGTTGACTATCTATATGAACCTACGCCACTTAACCTAAAATGTAGTATTTCCACGCCATATGTAATCGTCACACAGCAATCATTCGGGAGTCTTTAACGAGGTTATGGCATTTTATGCACTGTGCCACCAAGAATGGGCATCAAGGACTTTCTTTCAGGGACGAGCAACATAGACCAAGGCAGGCTGTAATTGAAATACGAGAGATTCTTGGAGACGCACGCTACTTTTACACTCCTTAATATAATAGCAACAGTAATCAAATTTGCGGTGTCAAATCTGTTACCGGCACTCCAAAATATAATATTTTCATCCCTGTAAAATTCTTCCTATGCATTGTTATTTTACAGTTTTCAGATGCATTAAACCACCCTTAAAATATGCTGGGCGCCATATCAAATTTTTGCAAACGCTGGTCCTAACATGTAAAACGCACGACTGCTGAAACTATTTCTTTCACACGCAGAAACTCAGCATACACACACATGCCATTTCGAGTGTATGTGGTTCATTTAAGTACCTCTGTGTTTGAAAAAGAGTATTTCCCTTTCTGTGGCTGCGCTAGAGCTGAAGCCCCAACCATGTCTATCTTAAAGTTACATACCCGTACTCGTACATACGTACTAACGTGTGTAGTCAGTCGGGATTACCCCAAGAACGGTAACACGTTAATGTTGTGGTTACCTAGAGGACCCAAGCGGTAATTCAGCGTGACAAGGACGACACCTTCGGCGACCAGATAGTCAGGTCCGTATATCCAGAAGTTTCCATCTCCCATTGTAAACCCTCCACCGTGAATCCAAACCATGACAGCCTTCGGGAACTCGTCACTTCCTCCTGGAAGCTGCGACAAAATTATTGCACATTTACAGCATCCTGCATTAACTAATTATGCTCAAGTTGCCGAAGAATTCGATTTAAACCTGCCACTCTGTCCACTAAAATTCCACATGATCTGACCCATAATCGAACCCGGACCGTCGCGCCTGAGCTGTCTGTATGACTTGACGTGTAAAGAATCACTGTACCTTTGGAGTATATACATTGAGGTACAAGCAGTCCTCTTCTCCTTTGAATTCCTTCTTGAATATCTCAAGCTGGGCGCAGGTTGGGCCTTCGACTAGGGCGTCTCGCATCCCATCCCACGAGTCGGCTGGCTGAGGAGCCTGCGCAGGAAACAGTTACAAGACACCTTCAAGGAAGAAAATATGAAAACAATACTTACTATGCCATTGATCTTAAATATTCAAGTATTTGCACCTCTACGTGAAACTGAGATTAAGCTACAAAAGCAAAAATAATCTCTCGGTTCTTGTTGTTATTGTTACTGTTGCTGTTTCAGTACGTGCCTGCGACTGGCTTGTTTGCTGATGTCAAGCACTTAACAATAAAAATAAAACTTATTGTTATTATTATTATTATTATTATTATTATTATTAGCAGTAGCAACAGTAGCAGCAGTTGTAGTATTTGTAACGATCATTATCATGGCTACTTTCGGTTTGAAACACACAGGCGCTGTGATTGGAAATGTATTTCTAATTATCTACATGGTTAAAACAAGTTAGGAAATGTATGAGTTTCTCTTTGTGACCGCCTCGAATTTGGAAAGTGTGTGTGATAATTAAATCTGTACTTACTTATTCATGAAGCTGAGCCCTTCTGGAGGAGCCGCCAATTCTGCAGCTGCTCAAGAATTTCCCAGCATTTTATGGAACCCGAAGGTTCATTACGGTGTTCACAAGAGCCCTCCACTAGTCCCCATAATGAGCCAGATCAATCCAATCAATACCATCACATCCTATATCTCTAAGATCCATTTTAATATTGTCCACCCACTTACGCCTTGGTCTTCCCTGTGGTCTCTTTCCTTCTGGCTTTCCCACCAATATCCTATACGCATTCCTCGTCTCCCCCATTCGTGCTACATGCCCTGCCCACCTCATCTTCCTTTACTTGATCATTCTAATTATACTTGGAGGAGAGTACAAGTTATGAAGCTCCTCATTATGCAGTTTTCTCCAACCTCCTGTCACTTCATCCCTCTTCGGTCCAAATATTCTTCTCAACACCCTGTTCTCAAACACCCTCGGTCTATGTTCCTCCCTTAATGTCAGAGACCAAGTTTCACACCCATACAGAACCACAGGCAAAATTACCAGTACAAGCAGTCTGCTTGTACCGGTTCTCACGGTCTCTTCGCTTGCGGATTTATTTTCCTTTTACCCTGAAGATGGAGGCGATACGTTCCTCCGAAACGTCGGTTAACACCACATCTACACGGTGCCACATCCCAGAAGACTGCTTTCTTCATAGTCACCGCCGTGAACACCTCAAATCTTACATAAAATACGTTGGCTCAGAACATTATTAGGTCTGACAAACATTTAGTGAGTTGCGCATGTGAATCTTCATGTGAAGTGCCCATTACGGTTATCCTGATGAAAGAAAATTGGAACATGAAGCAAAGTGCGAAAAGTCCCCAGTATCAAATTTTAAGGTCATTCGTTTAGCTGTTCTCAAGTTGCGACATGCGGAACAGACGGACAGACAGACATAGCAAGGCTGAGAGGGGTATTCTAGGAAGACACAGTTTTATTTGGGAATACAGTCACACTCCGAGTTACGGCCGATGGCGACGATCAGGACCAAGATGCACTGCGCCAGCCCCGCGACTGATCTCCTACGTTGTCTGGGCTCTTGACCAGACTGTGGCGTACACCAGAGCGTCACAGCAAAAGTGGGAACATAAGTATAGCAAAGACAGCCCACAGATGACCTTCATGTCTTCCGTTCCTGTAGTTCTCAGGGCCGATATGGTCTAGTGCGCTGCGGTTATGCACAATCAGTGCAGTGCTGCTTGTGTTCGGTGCAGACTTCTCTGTCTTCTGTCCGGTGTGTGGGCGCTTCCTCGTTGCCGCTCCTGCTGGACGCCGTTACACTCTCTGTCCCTGCAGGGATGTGGCGCCTCGCCGTTGTAGTATTTCGTTTTGCTAGCTTCATTGTGTCTCCCGGGCATCCTAGGTGACAATGGCACCCCCACTAGGGCTGTTTGCGGTGGACCCAGATGTGACCAAAATGCTGGAAGTTGTAGCAGTGACATTACTAGCAATGGAGGTCATACTTCAGGCAGCGTGTTAGTGTCACTAGGAAGGGGACCCTAGGTGAGGGGCGTTTGGCCGTCATATGTTTCACACCAAAACCGTCAAAGCCCCACTCCTGCGAGTCAAGGGAGATATTTTCAGTAGAGGCATTGATGGTGAGATGCCCAGTAGCAGCCTTGACAAGCTCATCCGACCTTGGGTACAGAGTGAAGTGGGACAGGATATAATGGCCTTGTAACTATGCGAACCCCGGCTCCCGCGGTTCGCAGTGAATACTGGTTAAACAGTAGGAGTTTGGTCTCCTTCTGGATGTCAAGGGGGTTAGGAGTAACTTCCAACGTCTAGGTGACGTGGGGCGGCCTCTCCGACCTTTCTCAAATGCTCCTCGGTAACTGTGTTCGCAGTCGCAACTGGATGTGCATCCGGCTTCCTGTTCTGCCTGGCAATTCGTGCTCTTTCTGCAGCCAGAGAAAGCAGGGGCTTCAGGCCAAAGCTTGGAGGGAAAATCTTCTGTGTTGAACTGCAAGGAGTGCAGCATGCGTGGTAGAGCGCTTGTGTAGCACGCAGGCAGTGTTCGGAGCAACAAATTAGTTCTGTTCCCCGTCTCAATGAAGCCTCGATGAGGCGTGATAGAATTTCAGGTCACTGGCAATAGCTGCACGCACGACACATCACCGACCATGACTTCGGTGGACCGGTAACGAAGCCCTCACTGTTTTTCCCCGTGGGCTTTCAGTACTTGTAGTCACATGCGCTCCGCAACAGAGACATGCCCTGCAGTCGTGCCAGCTTTGCAACGTCAAGTTATTTTTCTCTTTGTTTTCTTAGTGAGGTGGTACTTGGTACTGCGGCCACTTCTGGCCTGTTGTACCAGCCCCAGATGATAGGTGAGGGTGATTGTGGAGCAATTAGTGGAATGAAGATTGACAGGGGAAACCGAAGTACTCGGAAAAAACCTGCCACAGCGCCACTTCGTCCACCACAATTCCCACATGACTAGAACCAAGCTCAAACCCGGGCCGCCGCGGTGGGAACCCAGCGACTAATCGCTTGAGCTACAGCGCGGCCTTTGTTTTGTTCTTACTGATGCTCAACAGTGTATGAAGCGTGTGCAGTCTTTACGAAACCTTTCAGGCTAAGACTGTGTGTTTTAACAAGTTTTGTCTCCCAATAATTTCTCACCGAAATGTTGACGGTATTTTTGGCAGTAAATAGATAATCAATCATAAAATTCAGTAATCCATTTCAGTGCATAATTTCTACTAACAAAGATTCCCAGCACATTAGATTTGCCAGATATAATCTCTGTTTCGTAATATATCTATGTTTATAATTATCATCACTGAATATATGCTTCATAAATAGTAGTTTTCAAAGTATGTTTATGGTGTGTCTTCATACAAAATCATAACTGCCTATCTCGAACAGTTCATCAGTTATCACCAGGGCCCGAATTTTGATGACCTAAAATATTTTAAAAATGACAAAATGACCGAAAAAATCCAGAAAAACAACCTAAAATGTATCATGTCATGGAAAATCTACTAATTGTTTTAAAATGTATTTTTAATCTTTATTAACACCGCGAAGTGAACGTTACTCTTTTAAGTTCTTCCTCTTTTTATGCTGAAAATTAAGCAATATATGATTGAATTTGAAGCTAAATGTTTTAATGCGTTTGAACGCTTATCAAATGTACAAGTAGGGTATATATTCCAACATTTAAGTGCCACCTCATTCAGAGTTGCAATAGATGACAGTCAACATGCGGAGATTCTCGAAGGTGAGAGAGCGCTTCTTGTCCGACAGCACATTCTTGTACTTGGAGAAACTCCTTTCCACATCTGCAGACACAGTGGGAGCGCACTTGAAGTGTACCAAATCACTAGCAGTACGTTCTTCTTCAATACTGAAAGCGCTGAAGGACTCTCCTGACAGAATTCGAGAAATGCTGCATAATGTTTTCATAACCTGGGTTTTTATCCAGAACACTTTTCATTTTTCTTGACACCATTTTATCAATGTCCCCTGACACTTTCTCCAAATCACTGGCTATTTTTTTCACCAGAGCGAGCGAATCGTCTAGCGTTGCACCTTTCTCCTGTAAGCATCTGATTCCTTCCGTCAAGGAACTGAAATTTGCCTTTATGAAGGCCAGCTGTCCTTCCACTTCGCTGCACGAGAACTGTTCCTGAGCAGCTTCAATTTCCCTCGCATCCTCCGTCTTCATTGAAGCTACAGTGTCATTCACTATTTGAAAAAGATCGCAATAGTAAAGTGTAGCATCAATCCACGTTCCCCACCTTGTGATGACGGGTTCCGGGGGCAGTGGAACACCAGGGGCCATAGATTTAAATTGTATTTTACGAACTGGAGCTTTGACGAAAATCATCTTAATCCATGATACCAGAGGATACTTGAGGATTCGCATGTCTGAAATTTTATTTGAAAACTCTGTTTACCTCGAAGTTGATAATAAAATTCTTTCTCAGAGATATTTATTTAATACTTTAAATTCCTACGAATTTGGTTTTGTGGTACTAAGTCGGTAGGTACATTATTGAAGAATGTTACAGTCTGAGACATTATAAAGTGTATACCTTAGCGCATAATTTTAAGCGCTTAAAACTATCTGCTTAACTAATAATTAACAACTTTTTATATATAATGATTTCATTTGAAATAATGTACATAACAGGCTTATGAAAAATACCAGTGATTCTGTATCTGATTGTCTAATGACACAATGCCATACTGCGCTTTATCTGGCTCAGACGGGAGCGCGCAGGGCGAACAGAGACTCAGATAAGCACGACTCGCGCCGACCAGGAGATAGTACGGAGACTTCGAACCTCCATATCAGGAAAAAGTAGGCAATGGAATTTTATTTTTACATATCTCTAAAGTGAAGGACTAGAATTATAAGCAACAACCAGGAAAAGTCACTTTATTTTATTGCGTCTACTATCTGCTAAAATTCTTGGAACAGTTACGCTACCCACTCACTCACACTCGACTGCAACAATTCACAGATTCAACTGCTTCTGGATACCAAAGTCCTC